CTTATCTAGGGAAAGTCATGGAAAGAACGTCAGTGGACAGACTGATGTATGTGACTGAAAGATGGCAGCTGTTTTCACCTTTTCAGGAGGGGGAGGAACACCATGGACCGAGCAGTCTGCTTAGAATCAGAGATAAGGAAAGCTCAGGGGAATAATGGATTAGTGGGGGCAGTTTTTGGATATAGGATGTAGACTACAGACCTTAAGAGTGGAGAAGTCTGTTTTTTAGAGGAGACATGTCAGACACACCTGTGTACACTTGGACAGGTAAATGCATAAGGAGATAAGGTGTTGCTTTTATTAGCCAGCTTAAATGATGGAAAATGAATGAGTTGTTCCTGGTTAATATTTTGTGTTTGCAAACAGTATCACATACCCAGGCCTAATCTGTACATACATCCAAAATATACTGATTTTATTGGAGGATAATCCACTAACATGTTTTAATGCACAAGTTCATGTGATTTCTGTGCCCGACTACTGCCGGACTTTGTCTGTGGCTTGCTGCTGATAATAAAAAGTTAAATTTAATGCAATTCAATTTTATTTATACAATGCTAAATCACAAGAACAGTCACCTCAAGGTACTTTATACTGTAAGGTAGACCATAAAATGATCAGAATCAGGATACTTTATTAATCCCTAACGTAATTATGTGGCTCCAATTGCTCCAAGACAACAATAGTAACAGACTGAGCTAATTAAATAAAAGAATTTATTACAAAACACTTACAAAATATAAGAAATGGCTCTAATATGTAAACATTTTTGACATTTGATAAATAAAGTGGAAACATAAAGTATAACCTGATAACATCTGTGGACAGGTACTGAGAACTTGTGCTGATCAGCTGAGTGGGATTTTTCACTATATCTTCTCACTTTCTTTAGAGCTACAGACAGTACCTAAGATTTGGAAACATGCGATCATTGTTCCTGTTGCTAAGGGCAGTTCTCCTAAGGCACTGAATGATTTTAGGCCTGTGGCTCTGACTTCTTTAGTGATGAAGACATTTGAGAAGATAATTAAGAAGGAGATTTTAATGCAGGTTGAACACCATCTTGACCCCTTCCAGTTTGCTTATAGAGCAGGGAGAGGTGTGGAGGACGCTGCTGTCACACTCCTGCATCTCTTGTATAAGCATCTTGAGGCCCCCCACACCCATGCAAGATTATTATTTGCTGACTTTTCATCTGCATTTAATACAATTCAACCCCTCTTACTTGCTGACAGGCTTTACAATCATTTCAAGCTTGACACTAGTCTGGTCGGCTGGGTGACAGATTTTCTGACTAATAGGTCACAATGTGTGAGGGTGAATCGTGTATTTTCTGATGTGCTCTCCTCCTCTACTGGATCACCCCAGGGTTGCTGCCTCTCCCCCCTTCTGTTCATTCTGTACACAAATGAGTGTCGCAGCAATCTCGCAAACAGACACATCCTGAAGTTTGCTGACGACACAGTGATCGTCAGTCCTCTAGTGGGGGACGAGTCAGGCCATGGACAGGTTGTAGATGATTTTGTGAATTGGTGTGATGAGTCCTTCCTCTCACTTAACGTGTCAAAAACTAAAGACATGATTATTGATTTTACGAAGTCCTCTTATAGCTCATCACCCACTATCATTAAAACTGCCGATATTGGGATCGTTGAGAGTTATAAATATCTAGGTGTGGTACTTGACCATAAACTGTGTTTTGAATCTCATGCTGATGCCACTACTAAAAAAGTTCAACAAAGACTGTTCTTTTTAAGGAAAATGAGATCTTTTAACGTCTCATCTGAGATGTTGTCCTTGTTTTATAGAAGTTTTATCGAATCTGTGATGTCTTTTTGTATCGCTGCCTGGTTTGGTAACCTGACGGTGAAGAATAAGAATCGGTTGGGACTTCTGGTAAAAACCGCTAGCAAAATTTCAGGCCGCTGGCAAGATGGACTTTTGGCCATTTACAATAGAAACGTGCTTAGAAAGGCTCATTCTATTATTAATTGTGTGAACCATCCACTTCACAGTGAGTTTGAGTTGTTGCCTTCCGGCCGCCGTTTTAGAGTACCTCCGAGGAGGACTAAAAGACTCCAGGTCTCTTTTATCCCTACTGCGTCTTGTCTCCTTAATGGCAAATAATTGTCCTTGAATTTTCTATCATTATTATTGTTATTATTGTTTTATAGTATTGTTCTGTTGTTCTTATCCTCCTGCTGCTAAACTAATTTCCCCTTGTGGGACAATAAAGAAAAATTGAATTGAATTGAATTGAATAATCTTATGTAAAACATTAGGAGCTATATATAGGCAGTGCAAAATTTTGTTCTGAGTTTCTAGCAGGGGGTTGCAAGTGAAAGTAGACCTAAGTATATTAATGGCTGCTTTCCAATCCTCCTCTGTGTATTGATTATTAAGATCTTCCCATTTTTGAATAACACGACTGTACAGCTACTATGAGCATACAGTAATGAGTAAAAAGTAGAAATAAAATGAGTTTGGTCCTTTATCATTTCTTTTTGTTGCAGACAACTAAACTCCACAGTGGAGATGGTTGTTTTGTTTTTGTTTTTACCTGTCCTGTCTGGCACTGGAACTTGAAGGGAAAACAGTATTAGCATTAGCGGTTAATGCTAATTCACATCAAAGTACCATTAGCTGCTAATGGCAGCTTACTTAGCATTAGCTAGTTACACTTTTCTAACACAAGGGAAAAGGGTATTAGTGTTAGCTATTCACATTGTTAAAAAGGAAGGAAAAACAATATTAGCATCAGTGGATAATGTTAATTCATTTCAAATTTGCATTAGCTGCTAACGGCGGCCTACTTAGCATTAGCTGCTGACATTGTTAATAAGCAAGGGAAAACGGTATTAGACGACTAATACTAATTCACCTCAAATTGACATTAGCCGCTAACAGCAGCCTACTTAGCATTAGCTGCTAAGATTGTTAGAAAGCAAGGGGAAAAGGTGTCTGAAGGTTCTCAGTCATCCAGGTCATCGTAGTCTAAGGAGTTTGGAAAGAAAAGCGTCTGGACTTCTTTAGGTTGCTTGAAAGGGAAGGTATTATCATTAGCTGTTTTTTCACCTTAAATTAGTATTAGCTGGTAGTGTCAGCCTACTTAGCATTAGCTGCTCACATTGTTATAAAGAGAGGAAAAAAGGGGGTATAAAGGTCGTGTCCAAATTCATGGGCTGCATCCTCCTGAGGCCGCATTTGTAGACCGATTACGTCACAGCGACGCGCCGAAGGCTGTCCAAATTCGTAGACTCCTCCGAATGCAGTCGACAAATGCGTCCTCCTTTTCCCCGAATATGAAGGATGGGTCGGGTGTATCCTTCATGGCCTACCATATCCCAGAATTCATAGCGCGGCCCAGCCAAACTCCAGTTTCCAACAATGGCGGCCGCTACTAAGTTTTAAAATTACTCATACTAATCTTTCTGGGTCACAACATAAACTTTTAACATATTTTCAGGCAAGAAAGTAGCTATGTAAACATCAAATATCTGCTCGTTTTATCAAGATATCGCATATTTGCAAAAGTGCTTCGACGTTTTCGGAGACGTCTACCCACCAGCTCGATAGCTAGCCGGGAGCTCGAGGGTTACTGATGCGGCCGAGAACGGCACAACTCCCGGCACATCATTTTTAGATCACCGCGGACTTTCGCTGCTCGGGTTAAACGTAATATATAAGTCACTTAGACAACCTAAAAATGTTATTGTTGGGCTTTTTTCAGTGTTTTGTTTGTTCGTGAGTAAATCGGTTTGGCTGAGATTAAAGTTATTAGATTAGATTAGATAAAATAAAACTTTATTAATCCCCTGGGTGGGTTCCTCCTTGGTTTTTACACAGCTGACTAAACGTGAAACAGAAAACTGATTAAACAGAAGTATGAGACAGTTGAGAATTTACGCCAGTGTCCTGTTATACTTTAGATAGCAAGGATTAGACGGCTGAGTTTATTAAACTCCACCGAGACAGCGGTGACGCTAATCAGAAGGCTAGACCGTCCAATTTCACGGCCGTTTACTTCCGGCCTACCCGATCTTCTGAGGACCCGGCCCACGTAGACCGCGAAGGCCGGGTCCTCAGGAGAATGCAGCCCATGAATTTGGACACGACCAAACATTAGCTGCTAATGCTTATTCACCTCAAATTAGCTTTAGCCACTAATGACAGACTACTTATCGTTAGCTACTCACATTCATATAAAGCAAGGAAAACTGTCTTGTCATTAGTTACTAATGCTAATTCACCTCAAATTAGCAATAGAAGCTAACAACGCTAATCAGAGCTGTTAACCCTGCTAATCAGATGATAATATTCACATGACTCAACTCCTTAACTGTTATTGGTTGTGTCAGACGAGCTGTTCAGTTACCATGGTTGCGTGAGCTCTGCTTTATGTTGTCGGTGTGTACAGTACTGTATAGATGCACAGTAACAACAATGACACCAAAAGGAAAAAAAAAACAGCTGGCAGCAAAAGCAGGGAGGTGTCCATTTCAGCTTAACAGAAGAGGAATATAAAGATAGTGAAGGTCACAGTTTGAATCGGTCATATTTCATTCAATACAGGGTGTACTGACAGATCCAGGATCAGTCCAAATCATCAGCAGTTTGATCCACATATGGATTGAAGTGTATTTGTGAAAATGTTGGACTGTTCCTTTATCAGTGTCTAACAGTATGTGTATGAGAGCCATGTAATGTCCATGTGTGCATGCTGAAAGAGACTGTGCTGGTCTGACCCCCCTCCTCATTTCAGGGTGGAGCCTGCTGGAGTCCGATGGTTGAGACCAGGTCTGAGGAAGTGTAAGTGTGTTTTTATTGGGATTCATTCACATCTCTGATGTGAGGAGTCATCATCAAAGTGTCAATCAATAAACAGATGATGGATCAATAACTGCAGCTGGATTGTGTTTGTTCTCTCCATCAGATTCCTGTCAACTCACAATCGACACAAACACAGTTCACACAAAGCTCAGACTGTTTGACAACAACAGGAAGGTGGCACGTGTGGAGGAGATTCAGTCATATCCTGATCATCCAGACAGATTTGATGTTTATCCTCAGTTTCTGTGTAGAAATGGTCTGACTGGTCGCTGTTACTGGGAAGTCGAGTGGAGAGGAAACATTTATATATCAGTGAGTTACAGACAAATCGGAAGAAAAGGAAACAGTGAAGACTGTTTGTTTGGACACAATGATCAGTCCTGGAGTTTGCACTGCGCTGGTGATGGTCCTCGTTGTGTCTGGCAAAATAAAAGATACACATCCATCTCCTCCTTCTCCTCCTCCTCTGTCTCTAACAGAGTAGCAGTGTATGTGGACTGTCCTGCTGGCACTCTGTCCTTCTACAGAGTCTCCTCTGACACTCTGATCCACCTCCACACCTTCAACACCACATTCACTCAAACTCTTTATCCTGGATTTAGGTTCAATCCTGGTTCCTCAGTGACACTGTGCTGAGTTGAGTGTAAAGAGTGTTGTTCTGTTAGAGAAACACTCTGACTGTTGAACAGGTAGTTCAGTCTGTACATGTCTGTCTCTTTCAGTCAGAAACGCATTTTCAGATTCATGGATATAATCAGTTGATGTTTTAAACTGTTCTAAATGATATTATGATGTCAGTAGACTCCGGAGAATACACAGTCCTAGTCTTGTTAGACCTTACCTCAGCCTTTGATACAGTCAACCATCCTGATAAACAGACTGAGAGACCTGGTTGGGATGTCTGGCTCTGTTCTAGACTGGTTTTCATCTTATATATCTGAAAGGAGTTTTAGTGTGTCTGCAAACCAGATCATGTCGGAACCTACAGAGTTGTTGTGTGGAGTTCCTCAGGGATCTGTGCTGGGACCTATTCTGTTTTTAATATACATTCTTCCTTTAAGTCAGATAATACAGCAGTTTCCTGAAGTATCATCATCTTTTTGCTGACAATATTCAGCTATATTATTCGTTTAAGCCTGCTGAAGCTCATAAGCTCTCCAATCTGATTGACTGTTTAACCAACATTAAACAAAAACATGAAAGGGCTAGCCCGCCTACAGGTTGTTCAAAACTCTGCAGCGAGGCTACTGACCCGCTCGAACAAGGGTGCTCATATGACCCCTGGTTTAAAGTCGCTGCACTGGCTACCAATCAGATTCAGGTTCCATTTTAAAATTCTACTTTTAACTTTTAGAGCATTACAGAGACAGGCACCCCCCTACATTGCTGATCTGATTCATACACACACCTCCACTCGTAACCCGAGGTCAGCAAACCAAAACCTTTTCGTGGTCCCCCACACTCGTTTTAAAACCCGAGGGGACCGATCTTTCCAAGCTGTTGCACCCAGATTGTGGAATGCACTTCCCCTATTTCTACGGGGTTTGGACTCAGTGGAGACCTTCAAAAAGCAGCTAAAGACATTTTTATTTCAAAAAGCTTTTAATTAGACCAGGGTTTTCATGGTGTATTTTATGACTGTATTATGTTTTTACCTTGTAAAGCACTTTGTGACATATGTCTGTGAAAGGTGCTAAATAAATAAAGTTTACTTACTTACTTACTAAATGATTCCTTGTAAACTTCTTCCTCTTCAGTCCTTTAAAGATGTAAACTCCCATTATTCCAGGATCCACATGTTGTTTTTCTGTCTTTTTCCACTCAGCGCTTCACAGTGAATACCAGTATGTTCTGTTTCTCTGAAGTTCAGTTCTCAACCAGCTCCTCTGCATTTTCATCCCATTAAGAAAGAGAAATCAAACATTTGGATTCATTTTAATGAGCTCAGACTTGTTTCCATCATGGCTGAATAAGTGGACATCCAATAGTAGAATAGAATAGAATAGAATTCAACTTTATTGTCATTGCACATGCACAGGTACAGGGCAACGAAATGCAGTTTGCATCCATCCAGAAGTGCTTTAGTGATATAGATATATTACAATATATATTAGCAATAATATAGATATGTGAGTATATTACAGAAATGGGTCTATTATGGTATGTTATAATGTACACGGTATGAAGTATGTTGTGAATATTCTATAACTATAAGTATGTACAGGCTGTAGTGAGTACAAGCTATGTACAGGATATGAACATGATATAAATATGAAAAACTATACAGAATATGAAATAAATAACTTTACAGAATCTGAGATATACAGCTATACAGAAATGGGAACTATGCAAGTTGTAAACAGTTGTAGGATTAAAGATTATTGAATGTACAGAATGATTATTTACACAGAGCTATACAGTAGTGCAGTTAAGATAAGTGAGGGTGTAGATAGTTTCTACAGAGGCTATATAAAGTGCTAGTGGTTGTGAGTGGTGGTTCAGTCCATGTTATTATTGTGTTTGAGGGTACAGTTGTCCATTGTGGGTGTGTGTATGTTCAGTCCATGAGTTTAACGTGGGTCAGATGTCAGGAGGCAGAGTTCAGGAGTCTGACAGCTGTGGGGAAGAAGCTGTTCCAGTACCTGGTGGTCTTAGTCCGGAGGCTCCTGTGGCGCCTCCCAGAGGGCAGGAGGGTGAAGAGTCCATGTGATGGGTGACTGGGGTCTTTGATGATTTTCCCAGCCCTTTTCAGACACCGCTTCCTGTAGATGTCTTTTATGGCAGGAAGTGGTGCTCTGGCGATGCGCTGGGCAGTTTTCACGACCCTCTGCAACGCCTTCCGGTCAAAGTCAAAGTCAAAGTCAACTTTATTTGTCGATTCTGCCACATGTACAGGACATACAGAGAATAGAAATTGCGTTACTCTCAATCCCTAGATAAATAGCAAATGAACATTTAAATATATTTAAATATAAAAGTGATTAAAAATGCAAGTAAAATAATTAAAAAGTAAAAATTTAAATAAATACAATTTTACATATAACAAGAAAGCTATACAATATACAATATAATGGGTAAGTGACATTGAGTGCAAACCAGGCAGAGTAGTGCAAATAGGCAAATAGTGCAAATGGAGATTTAGTAATGTACGGTAAGAGAAAGTGTAACAACAAAGTCTTATGAGGTAATGGCAGTCCAATGCTCCACAAAGTGACTGGTAACTGGTGCAGGCCAGTGAGTGAGTCAGAGAGTGTGTGTGTGTGTGTGACAGAGTTCAGTGAGACCGTGGAGGAGAGAGGGGAGAGGGGGCAGAATCGGGAGGGAGTTAAGCTTCCTGACAGCCTGATGGATGAAGCTGTCCTTCAGCCTGCTGGTCCTGGCCTGGAGACTCCGCAGTCTCCTCCCCGACGGCAGCAGCTTGAAGAAGCTTTGCATTGGGTGCGTGGGATCAGCCGCTATGCAAAGGGCTTTTTTTTGCTCTGTCCGAGGCAGAGCAGTTCCCGTACCAGACTGTTATACAGTTGGTCAGGATGCTCTCGATGGTGCAACGATAGAAGTTCACCAGGATGTCTGAGGACAGGTGGTTCTTCCTCAGAGTCCTCAAGAAGAAGAGGCGCTGGTGAGCCTTCTTGACCAGCTTGGAGCAGTTGGTCGTCCAGGTGAGATCCTCGGAGATGTGAACTCCCAGGAACTTGAAGCTGCTCACACGCTCCACAGCCGTCCCCTTAATGTGGATGGGTGGATGTGGGTCAGCATTCCTCCTGTAGTCCACGATGAGCTCCTTGGTCTTCTCGGTGTTAAGCAGCAGGTTGTTTCTGTCGCACCACTCAGCCAGACGATCCACCTCCTCCCTGTAGGCGGCCTCATCGTTGTCACTGATGAGGCCAGTGTATCAAATATTAAAGATATTTAGCATCTCTCATGTTTCTGTTATTCTATAAAAACAGCTGCTTTAAAAACCGATCCAATCAAAGAAACATGAACTTCCATATTGATCAGATCAATACGTACAGCTCTGATGTCACTAACCTCTCCTTGAACTCTTCATTGATGGTGATTTGTGGTCCTCTGCTGGTGAGAAGATGAACTGCATGATGTCAGTTTAATGAGCACAGATGAGATGAAGTGTTTTTAAGTCTGCTTTTTCTAATTGTTCAGGGTCCTGCTCCAGGAAACAGCTTCAACAAACACTGGCTTTCAAAATAAGACCTCAGTCTGAGTTTTTAAAAAAGCTCTTACCTTGGAAGGAATTGACATTTAATATTCATGTTATCAGCCCATCAATGGGTGTTATTAGCAGTTATCAGCTTCATAGCTGTGGCTGAGATTGGCCCTCCTGCACCTGCTAGCAGGCTCAGTTGGTCATTATCACCAATTGGTGAGCTGGATCGCTGTTGGAGGGACGATGATGAATCCAGATCCAGTACAGACAGACTCCACTTCACACTGAGATGGGCGCATGGCAGCTAATGTTACACCCCTGAAAACGGGGAAAGAATCACGAGAGTGATTTTGACTTGCGTCTCTCATGCAGTTCTTTATTGCAATCAAAATGAACATAAATGTTTCACATTCTGTATTGCTTAATGTCACATGGTGGAAGGAAAAGCTAAATAATAAACCAAAATGATAAAGTGCTTACTATACATATACCTGAACATGTTTCCTGACAAAATGGTTGACAATAGAAACGTTTCTAGCTCCTGCCGTTAGCTTAATGGACATTATACAGTACCAAACAGAGGCTCAAAACCACCTTGTCTCTGTGCACAAAACGACTGTGATATAATGCTTCTAAAGCTTACAAAACAATGAAGGGTTACCTATTAAATATCTTAACAATGTACAGATTGCCTATATATGAACTTTGAAACACTTTTACCTGAAAACAGTTGTGTCTGAGATTGTATGTGCAGTTTTTGTGTCTGAGCAGAGAGTGAGCTGGATGGTGTGAGTCCCTGATAATTCTCTCTGCTCTTTTTTGGCCGTGTTGTGTGCACAGAAGGGCCATGGAGGCAAGTTTTGTTCCCATAATCCTCTCTGCAGACTTTATGACTCTTTGCAAAGCCTTCCTCTCTGTCTGTGTAGTGTTTCCATACCAGACAGTGATACCTGCGGTGAGGATGCTCTCTATCAGTCCTCTGTATGCCTGGGTGAGAGGGCGCTGATTTCTGGCTTTCCTGAGCAGCCGAATGAAATAAAGCCTTTGCTGGCCTTTTTTCACTGTTGTTGTGGTGTTGAGAGTCCAGCGCAGGTCTGATGAAACCTGCAGTCCCAGGAATCTGTGGCTGTTTGCCTTCTCCACCTCTGTCATTTTCACGATAAGAGGTTGCAGGGGAGGGAGTTCCTCCTAGAGTCCAGTATTAATTCCTTGGTCTTGCCATGTTGAGGATGAGGTCGCTTTTCACACCATAGACAAGAACATTGTCTACTCCCCCCTTGATGAGCCCCAGGATGGTGGTGTCCTCAGTGTATTGGAGTTTTCCTGGGTGGAGACACAGTCATGGGTGTACAGGGTGAAGAGTTTGGGGCTGAGGCAGCAGCCCTGTGGAGATCCAGTGCTGACGGTGAGCTCAGCAGACACGTGTCCTCCCATTCTCACCACCTGTTGTCTGTCTGTCAAAAAGTCTGGAATCCAGTTATGGGTGGGTGTTGGGATGGTGAGGTATATCAGCTTGCCTGGGCGGATGGTGTTGAAAGCAGAGCTGTAGTCCAGGAAGAGCATCCTGACATATGTTCTGCTGCTTTCCAGGTGTTGCAGAGTGTGGTGCAGGGCTAATGCTGTTGCACCATCCACTGATCAATTGGGGCTGAATGCAAACTGGAAGGGGTCTATAGTTTCAGGGACAATGTGATTTGAGTCCCTCAAAGGAAGAATTCTGTATCTATAAATGGATCATGGACTTTCTGACCAACAGACCCCTATTTGTTAGGTCAGGGCATAACAGCTCTACCACCATCACACTCACACTGGCGCTCCACAGGGCTGTGTGCTGAGTTCATTCCTCTATGAATGCAGACCTAGGTATTGATTCAACTCCATCATCAAGTCTGCAGATGACACCACGGTGACTGTCTCATCAGGGACAATGATGAGTCTGCTACAGGGAAGAGGTAAAGCACCTAGCTATGTGGTGCTGACAGTAACCTGCTCCTGAGTACCAGCAAACCAAAGAGCTCATTGTGAACTTCAGGAGGGAGAAAACAAACACCCATGTCCCCATCTACATAAATGGCACAGCTGTTGAACGGGTCTCCAGCTTCAAGGTCTTGGGGACCCACATCTCTGAGAATCTGACCTGGTCAACTAAGACCTCCAGCCTGACCATCAGCGCTTCTTTTTCTTCAGGACACTGAAGAAGAACCACCTGTCTACTGACATACTGGTTAACTTCTACCACTGTGAGATACAGAGCATCCTGACCAATTGTGCCGCAGTTTGGTATGGAAATTGCTATGTTGCTGACCACAAGGCACTGCAGCGGGTGGTGAAAAGACGTCACAGGGACTCTACTTTCTGCCATTGAGGATGTCCACAAGAAGAGATGTCTATGCCGAGCACACATCATTCTCAGGGACTCCTCTCATTCTGCCAATAAACCCCTCCAGCTCCTCCCCTCCAGGAGGCGCTACAGGAGCCTTCAGACTAAAACCAGCAGGTTTAGGAACAGCTTCTTCCCCACAGCTGTCACTCTACTGAACTCAGTCCCCTGCTGAACCTTTCCATCCACACTCACTGTCCATCCACACCCCCCTATCCCTCCCAGTGACAATGATCATGACTGTCATTCATTCTCAACATTCACCATGTGCACACACTGGTTACTGCTATAGTTTAGGACACTGACATAGTATGGTCTCTGTTATAGTGCGTACACTGTTATCTATTATAGTCTGCTCAGAGAGCTACGCTTACACTGCGTTAGATGTATTCATAGCACTCTGTAGATCTGTTTACCTCACACCTCTACATCTGTATATATTTAGCAAATCTGTATATTTGTTCATAGTACATCTGTTTATCTGCCGATCTGTATAGCAGTATAGAACATCTGTATGCTATACAGATTATCTGTATATCTCTACATGTGTATACACAGTACATCTGTACATTTGTCTGCAGTTCATCTGTATATTTGGTCTCTCTGTACATAAACTGTTTATAACTATTCCACCTTTTACACTACCCTTATCTGTATATATCAGTATATTGTGGACTAGAATATGTTTGAGATGCCTCTGAGGATGTTTAGTAAGAAAAAACATTACATCATAAATATTAAGGTGCTCTACTGGAGTGAAGCAACTGGAAAGCTGCACAAGCAGAAATGAACGTTCACTTTTCAGCAACTATTATAGTGGAGCCTGAAGCCTGAACCTACAGCGAGTGCAGCTCTGCAGCCAGATCTGTGAGCTGAACTAAGTGGCAGCAACATAAGCATTTTTTTCCCACAATTTTAAGCTGTTTTTTAGGAATCATATCATGAGATTGGTGTGACTGAGGAGGTGCGAGAATGTATCTGGAAAAAGAAATAAAATTGCCTAATACAGGGGTGGGGAACTCCAGGTCTCAAGCTCCAGTCTCCTGCAGGATTTAGATGTGTCCTTGATCCATTACAGCTGATTTAAATTGCTAAAATACCTTCTAATGGTGGGTGTGCATCCTGACACTACCCCTCAACAGGTCTTGAAGTTCACTAGAGGCCTATAAATAAACTAATCATTTGATTCAGGTCTGTTCACCAGGGTGAGATCTAAAACCTGCAGGACATCGGCCCATGAGGCCTGGAGTTCCCCACCCCTAGCCTAATATATCTAGGACACAATTTAAAGCTTTACAAACTTAATTACGATTATGTTGTCTGAGAACTAACACAGAGCAGAAAACGTACCTTGTGATTGAGCTAATTTTTTATTATTCCTCCACAGTGTGGACCAGCAGAGCTCAGAGGTTCCCAGTGGTCAGTCTGCCCAGCAGCATCAAACACAGCTGGACTCCATATTTATGGTCTGCACATGTACAACAACTATTTTTTACATCTATTCTGTTCACAGTCATCTCCATGCTGCTCTTTGTAGACCAGTGGATTGTCAGTGTGTCCAACATGGATCTGATGTTTGGCTCCATGATTTCAGTCTGTTTGGTTCATTCATAAAGTATTCTGTTCCAGCTGCTGGAGGACAACATCGTCACTTTTGTGAAGGACGAACTGAAGAAGATCCAAAAGGTTCAGAGTCCAGATTACCCAGAATGGGAGGATGATGAGCAGAGGAGCAGCAGCAGAGAGGCATTTGAAGATCACAGTGAACTTCCTGAGGAGAATGAAGCAGGAGGAGCTGCCTGACCGACTCTAGAGCAGTAAGAGGATTTTTGTAGAAAGATTTAACCTTCTGTGTCATGGCACTTGGTCTTCGACCCAGTCTTTCTATCTTTCTGGACTTTACTGGGTTATTGAAACATCGTATGAGGCTAGTTTCATGGTTATGTTTACATCAAGCATCAAGTATGCTTTGGTGTAACAAATATTGAACAAGTTCGCACAATCACTTCTTTACAATGGACTATAATGTTTAAATGATTTGCCTGTGTGTAATAAACCATAACAGGACATTTCACATATCTGTAGTAAGAAAAATCTCTTTCTGAAAACACTGCACGTCTTTAATGTGCTGATTGCTTGTGACTTCTTGATGTTGGTAAATACAATAAATGAAAAATACATGTACAACTGTTACGGATTCAAATATTGGGGATGGAGACAAGAGGAAAAACCACGATAACAACACTGGTCCGGCCGGGTTGAGTCAAACGATGATTTTAATGATCACACACGTGGGAGATGGACACTGTACGCAGACAGCATCAGATCTCAAAATGGTGGAGCATTGATCAAACTCTTATAGCCTCTGGTGCCCCCACCTTATCATAAAAGCCTAAACATTCACATGCTTTCTCTCACACGGCGCCTAAGCTACGACCTTGGCTCCCTGTTTATCTGCTCCTGCTGAGATGGGGCAGAAAACTCCAGCATGTTCTCTCCTAATCAGACAAATAAGACGATGACTTTCTGCGAACAGTATTTCTTATAACATCATAAAACAATATCATTCATTCACAATAAATCAGCAGTCTACTGTAATGCAAATCAGTTTAACAAATGCAATAGTTATCAGCTTCTTCTAATTCAGGACAATAATGCAAACTAAGACTACATAATAATTCACAATCTTTAATTAGGGGTATAACATGGCATAAAATAATACTATAATCCCACACATTATGCTTCTGCTGTGAGGTCCTTTTTTGTTATTACTGATATATGACATTCCATCGGGAAGACATGATTATTGAACAAATAATGAACAAGTTCTCACAAACAATTCAGCTGTTACACGTTTCAGTATCTGTTTGTATTTCGTGGAATCAACATTTGTGTGCGAGTACACAAAAATCAGTACAGTTATTGCAAAAGTACCAAAAATAAACTAAGCCGACTCACAACTGTACAATAAAACAGTTACAGCCTCATTTTGTTTTTACACTAATTGAAAACATTTTAATCACAATAATACAACCTGATGTGTAAATATTGGAATGACCACTAGATGGCTTCAGATCTCCATAAAATAAAAATCCGCAGAAACATGAGACGTGCTCGTTTCTACACAAATAAATAAAACAAAGCATTTTAATAACGACATGAAAAAGAAAATACTCTACAGCAGTTGTTAACACTTACTACGCTGACCTATTATTGCTCTTGTATATTACAGATTAGTATGAAGCAATTGTGAGAGTTTTTACGGAGACCATAAAACTACATCTCCCTGATGATGACGACCATGACGACGATGTTAAAGATGATGGCGAGTGCTTCACCAGATCTCAAACTGCGTGTGCTCCTTGAAGGCTGCTCTGATGATGATGATGACGACCATGATGATAATGACGATGGTGATGATGGCGAGTGCTTCACCAGATCTCAAACTGCGTGTGCTCCTTGAAGGCTGCTCTGTGCACGATGTTGTTGCTGAAGAGTCTAGAAAGAGACCAAAGCAGAGAGCAGACGTCACTCACACAGAACAACATGAATCCACGTGAGCTCAGGCTGTGAATGATTCCTCTCAGAGTCTGAGAAGAAACTCCTTCATGTTGGCTCACCGCACACAGTGGATGGAGGGGTTGATGGAGAGCAGCTGCAGTAACACATCGGTCGAAGCATCAGTGATCTGATTGTGACTCAGACTGTAACACAAACACAACATGTGGCTCTAACTGATCGCTGCACATTATATTACTGTAGTGTGTGTGAACAGGCTGATGGTTGTTGGTGCCTCCCACAGGAGGATCAGTGTGTGACACTCACTCTAGGACTTGGACTTTGTGCAGATGTGTGATGAGAGGGAGCAGCAGCTGGTCAGTGAGCTGACAGTGACTGAGGTCCAGCTCTGTCAGCCCTTCACACGAGTCCAGCATCTGGACCAATGCCCCGCAGACCCTCTGATCCAGCGTGCTGTGACTGAGATCCAGCTCTCCACCCAGGGCTGTACACAGGGACACCGCCCGCCTCACTGCGTCCCTCTCACTGTTCACAGGAACCAGAGACAGCAGCTGGAGGAGGACAGTGTTACTGACTCTAAACAGGACAAACAGAGGAACTGTCAGGATGCATCAACACCAGCGTGAACAAGGTTCTCTCTGGTTCAGACTCTTCGGTGGTCTTTCCCACCTGAGGCGGACCCTGTGGAGGACAGGAAACAGCAGGTCCAGCACGCTGTCCTCCACCTCACAGTCTCGCAGGTCCAGCTGTGTGTCCCGGCTGCCCTGTGTCAGGATGGTGGAGACGGCCCTGCAGTCATCAGCAGTCAGACTCAGAGGCTCAGTCTGATCCTCCTCCGGTAGTTCCACACAGGAGGAGCAGGACAGATCCAAGCTGTGCTGCAGAGTCCTCAGCAGGCCTGACGCTGCCTCCTGCTGGACGTCACAGGCAGCACAGCAGTGGATGAACCTCAGCAGCTGGTTCCTGTCAACACTGGAAAGAAACGCATGGAGACAGAAAATCTAAAATGATAGATGCTGCAAACAAACTGCTGGCTTCAATAAAATGTGTTGATCTTTAAAACTAAAGGATTTTAAGAACAGCATCTATGAACTAGCAGCAGATACATTATTGTAATTAGATGTTGGATTTATGCACAGCACTCATGTTATTAAGACAAAGTCACACTGAGCCCAGTTTCCCTGCTTGGGCTGATTGTGCAGGTGGATGTTAACAGATAACAGCTTTAAATGAATAAGGACTCAGTTCATCTGGTAACTCGTTGTTCATGATTTACTGCATTTATCAGATTAAAAGCATCATTTGTCAGCAGTGATGAAGAGTAAATGTCTCCTTTGTGTCCAGGAAGCCACAGAAACACAGCATGTAGCAGATTATTTTAATGGGTCCAGTTCAAATGTGTCTGCAGACAAACTTGTGATTTGCAGCCTTCAGCTTGTTGTTCGAGCAGCTGATAAAAGTAGCCCAGGAGGTGTAATGACAACACTTGATAATAACTATAATTAATACAATTAAATTGTTAATTCGACCAATTTTAATTCACTAAGATTAAAATGACAATAACGCTGATGATACCATTTGGTAAAACCACAAATGAGACACACAAATCAGAAGCAACAAGTCAGAGGCTGCAGTTTGGGAAACACTGAAGACCACCAGAAATGTTTGGGCCTCATTTGTAAACGAAATGATTTCCAATAATATATTTTTAAACAATTATCTGTATAATTAATGAGAAATTGCAAAGCTGACATTTGTAAACTTTGTAAATAATTCATGAATATTGTGTGACATCTAAAAACAGGACGGCTAATGCTAAGCTGCAGTGTGTTCAGCGATAAGTCGGCCCTTGGGTGTAAATAAAAAAAATCAAACTTTTGATTAGTCTGAATTTCTTTGTTGTTTAGTAAAGTTTGTGTTGGATTAAAATACAACAAACGGCTCTCACTGTTGCCATGACAGCGGGCTAATGCTAAAGAAAAGCTTGCGTGACTCTCTGAGACTAAACAACAGTCGGGGGCGGGGCATCTGTGATGAAACCCTCGATGATAAGCAGTGAAATAAACATCTGGTCATCATTAAAGAACACATACCATAGTGATAACATGTTGTTTGTGTCATCAGAGTGTAATTATCGTCTCTTTCCAACTATGATATATAAGATAGGAAGCTTCACCACATTGTTGTTCGTACATGTCGCCACTATGAGCACCACTATCAGCGGCTCTGGGATTCTTTTCCAGGAAAACTGAACTCAAAGCCGTCTTCAAACCAGCTTACTGTCTGTAAACATCAACATGAACCAGTTACTGTTTGATCCTGTTTCCTGTTCTGTGTTTGCTACGGTGACCCTGGGTTGTTAGACAGGCGCCCACTAATAAAATGTGTTATTGTTGCTGTTGTTGTTATTATTACTGCTCTACCTTTAAATGATGTTCACTCTGCCTGCTGTTTGAAACTTTCCTTGTAGTTTCTTGTTCAACTGTTCACGTAATCTGTTCCACACTAACAGTAAAATGTTAGCTTGTTTTTGAAGCATTATGTTACAATAAAGTGTGTTGTTCAGCAATCACACAGCGCAGCACAGAAACGAGCTCTAATATCTGACCTGAGACAAGAAACGCTGTCCAGCATGAGCAGGATGGACTCTACTCCCCCTGCTGGTATGGAGGTCCACAGCAGGTTCAGTCTGACTCCGTCTCCGTGTCTGAGGATGAAGATCAGAGCAGCACAGTCCACTGAGTCCAGCTGTCTGCAGCTCAGGCTGATCACATGACCGAGTGACCTCAGCAAACTGGGAACAGCGTGACTGTCGTGAGCTCTGTAGAGCTCTCTGATGGAGCTCATCACAAAGCTGGGACTGGGCCTGAAAACAAAGAGTTTATTTCCAACTTTGTTTAAAGGATCCATGAAGTGCTGATTAAAGATGAGACAGCATTTCAAATCCTCCTGATTAATCAGCAGAAACTGTGTAAAAGATCAAACCACATTCAGCACCTTTTAAACACAATCCTGTCCAGAAAGGGAAGCAGACCTGTGGTCTCCTCCTGTAAGAACAGGCTCTTCCTCAGGTCCACAGTGATGGTCTGAGCCGACGGCTGCTGCAGCAGATAGTGAAGCAGCTCCCAGCTCAGGCAGCAGGAGGTCAGGTCTCCACCAACCTTACTCAAGAAGGACAACGTCAAGTCCTTGTCCTGGGTTTCATGGAGGAGAGACAGAAGCTGCTGGAAGCTCTCTTCACTCAGTCTGCAGAGATCATCAATATAAAATAAGCTTTGAAGTAAAAATCGACATTTTATTTGTCCTGTGATGTTCAGAAAGACATTTACTTGACTGTCAGAGGACCATGATGGAGCAGCAGTGCAATGAGACCCTGAGCAGGGATGCAGGTCTCAGTCAGGTCTAACCATCCGACTGTCCAGTATCTCAGCAGGGAAGCCAAACTACTGACGGCCCTCAACAATACTCTGTGTGATGGTCGGGCTTTCTTAGGCACAAGAGAAAGCTCTTCAACAGCCAGCCGACGGGCCGCTCTGCCTCTTCTTACCCACTGAGACAGCAGCAAGGACATGTCGATGGAAAGCCTGAAGAACGAAGAGACGAAAGAGCAGAAATGATGAACACCAAGAACTAAAGATTCACATAGAAATGATGTTAGAAGAGCAGGAGAGAGTCATGGTTTCACTTCCTGCCTCAGACTGTGTAGTTGTGTTGTGTGTCTGAAGAGCAGAGCGCCTCCTCTGGCAGACATCTTGCTGGGTGTGAGGATGAGATCCACTTTAGAGCCGCACAGTTTGAGAACTCTCCCCACAGACCAGCAGCTTTTCCTGTGTAACGCTCCTGTTAGCAGCAGCTGGAAGCCCAGCAGCTGCAGCAGAGACTCCAGCTGCTGGGCCTCCTCTCTGGATCTTACAGACATGGATGTGCACACACTCTGGAAGAACTCTGGATCACAGCTGGAACACAGCGAAGATGGGATCAGAGAACATGCTGGAAACGTTCTGCAAATGAAACCATCATCACTTATTTACCTGAGCTGTGAGATAAAAGGCAGACACTGCAGCAAACTCCTCACTTCACTCTCTTCATGTGAGCAGCCTGTCAGCTCCACTTGTTTCTTCTCTGGTTGGAGTTTCAGCAGCTCCAGGAGGATGGAGGTCTTTCTCTCTGAGAGGTCTATGGACCAGACTGCAGGAGCTGACTGGAAAACTGGCTGTAATGATGGAAGCACACTCACACCTGTTTTAGTCTCACAGTCCTTCACATGGGAGCACAGATCCAACAGGAAGTTAATCTGATATTGCTTCAGATCATCATCATCATCCTCCATGTGTCTCTCATGAAGAGGGAATGTCTGATATGTGCACACTGATGCTAACAGCTCCAGGATCTTCTCTCCTGTCTGCTGCTCTCTCTCTGCTGCTGCACAGAACAGACTCACAAAGATCATCACTGCTTCATCAGGATCTGAACACCCATCATATGCAACACTGGAACAATAAGAAGGAAACATTTAGAGATGATTTGACGTGAGCTGCATAAAAACAGCCACACACTGCTGATGGACTCCATGTTGTATATAATGAAAGTCCATTTTAAAGCCATCTTCCATCAGAGCAGCTGAACAGTGTTCTTAGACAGTTACTGACTCACAACACAAACACTCAGCCTGTGTGTGAAATCACTGCGTTCTGAACTGTAACTGTTATTTTGTTCGCTGTCTGACTTTAGAGAGTCAAACACTAAACATCAACAATACAGAAACACACAGAGTGGAACAACAACATCTACAACAGCAGCTTCACCTGCTGCTCACATCACACACCTCTCTGCTGTCTGACATCTTCATCTGCTCACTATAGAGCTGCTACCACCACCATCATCATCATGCTCAGTAAAACAAAGTCAGAGATAAAGTCCAGCTGCATGTAACTCATTCATTTACTGAGTTACGTCACTGAAGGACTCGTTGAGTTTGCTTTCATGCTGTTTCCATGGCGATGATGGATTCAGGTGTAAAGGATGTTTCTGGCATGTGTGCACTCCAACACTCTGCAGCAGGAGCTCAGTCACATGATCCTATCAAATATAAATCTAACCTTTCTGATGAGAACGTCTTTATTCTAGATCCTGATAAGCATTAAAAGTCGTCTGATATTTATAGAAAATATGAAACTTCATAGCAACAAACAGCTGAACACGTCAGTGAAACACAGGGATGGACTGAGAACGTTTCCCTCTGAAATATGACAGAGTCTGAATACATTTATAACATGATCCATGTAGATGAGGTCAAACATATGATGCTGATGACAAACAGGCAGCACAAGACAAAATCATCACTTTACAATTCATGGAGCTCCAAATATTTCCATCACTTATTTTCACACCACATCTTCTCTTACAGATATTTGACTCGTGTGAAGAGCATGTTATTTACCTGAGCTGTGAGATAAAAGGCAGACACTGCAGCAAACTCCTCACTTCACTCTCTTCTTCTTCTCCTCGCCATATCAACAGCTTCACTTGTTTCTTCTCTGGTTGGAGTTTCAGCAGCTCCAGGAGGATGGAGGTCTTTCTCTCTGAGAGGTCTATGGACCAGACTGCAGGAGCTGACTGGAAAACTGGCTGTAATGATGGAAGGACAGTCAGACCTGTTTTAGTCTCACAGTCCTTCACATGGGAGCACAGATCCAACAGGAAGTTAATCTGATAATCTTCATCCATGCGTCTCTCATGAAGAGGGAATGTCTGATATGTGCACACTGATGCTAACAGCTCCAGGATCTTCTCTCCTGTCTGCTGCTCTCTCTCTGCTGCTGCACAGAACAGACTCACAAAGATCCTGACTGCTTCATGGAGACGTGACCACAGAGGAAGAACACTGTAACAATAAGAAGGAAACATTCAGAGATGATTTGATGTGAGCTGCATAAAAACAGCCACACACTGCTGATGGACTTGCCTATGTGTGTCCTGTATATAATGAAATAGCCAGTGTTGGGAAGGTAAGTTTTCAAATGTATTCCACTACAGATTACAGATTACATGCCCCAAAAAGTATTTTGTAACGTATTCTGAATACTATGGATTACTTAATATATTATCAAGATTTTACAACTACATTAATGTCTCATTGCTGTGTGATTTATTACTATTACTGAAGGTTACTCACCAGACCAAAACCAACTCGACTTAAAATTTATTTCACACCTCAAACCTTTAGTAAACAATTAAACAAATAAGAGTAAACTGCAATCATTTACTGGTAGCAATAAAATAATCTTCTACGTCTTAAGCTCTGTCCACACCTGTACAGCTTTTTCTATGTGTTTGGGCCTTTCGTTCACACGTAAACGGCATTTTGAATAATCTAAAACTGAGATTTTTTAAACTCCTTCTTTGCATTTACGTGGACGAGGAATACGGGGTTCATCACGCAGCGTCAAAAGTTGTGCGTCTTTTTTCACGTCTTACTATGTGCAGTTTTTACACACTTACACACACAGTTACTGTCCCCCCATTCAAAGGCAGAGGCATCATTATTTTATGTGTAAAGCGGACCCTCGTTTATTGCGGCAGTTAGGTTCTAAAAAATCCCGTGATAGGTGAAATCTGTACAGTAGTCAGCTTCATTTTTTAAAGTTATTATAGATGTTTGAAGGCTGTAAATAACCTCACTACAAGCTGTACACTTTTCTCAGACAGGTATGAACATTTTCACTCTTCTCTGGCTTGTTTAAACACAAAGTTCAGACCTTGTTAGAAAATTAAGTCCAGTATTATAGAAGAAACCAAAGATCAAACCCTGTTTTCAGAACATGGGAACAGCTGCAGAGAGTTCAACATTAATGAATCAATGGTACAGAAGTAGACGAAGCAAGAAGAATGAGTCAAGTTTGACTCCTCTGACTGTTTGGCTTTGCTTAATGCGTCTTAGAATCTGAAGAATGTGGTAACTTCTACCTTCCTTTAGCATGTGCAGAAGTCAAACTTTTGGTGCCATAGTTAGCGTCTTCCTCAGCCTTTTGGGAGCTACCACAGGAGCCTCTGACGGTGCAAAAGGTTTCGTCGACATTGTTGTGTTTGTGGGGGAGAAAACCTACAAACAAACAGCACTGCTAGCGATCGAGGATTTATGTAAATTTGACAAGCTGAACTCGTTCTGTACTGGACAGGAGACACGGCTCAAGGTTGATTGATAATGGTCTGCAACAAATCAGGATGCACAACACAATGCGCTGTTAAAAAAAAGAAAGTAAATCTGCAGAATTGCACGGACCACACTGCCCATGAGGCTCCCGTCTTTAGGGCTGTGCCTGTAACACTGCTCATATTCCCTTACTATTAAAATAGTTTTTCAATAATAATTTTTACAAATATTTCTTACAGCTCTAATGTGCAGCACACAGCGCTCAAACACATCTATTCATTCACTTCTTCATAGATGTTCATCATCCATTCATGTGCTCATGTTTGTGACTGATGAAGGCAGCATTCGATTGGTCCATTTTGTGTGGAAGAAGAGAGAAATAGCGAATCAAAGGCCTCCTTTTATGTGAGTGTGGACAGAGACTGAAGCTGAGTGAACACAAAGTTTCCCCCACATTGTCACAGCTGTCATCTCTGACTGCAGGTTTAGCTTTCATCAAGCCAGCTCACACAAAGAAAGCCTGCTTATGATCAAGCTGCTTCACTCTTCAGCCGTCTGTACAATTATACAATTATATTAAAATTCATATACTGAAAAATATTTCCTCTGCTGACTTCAGGGAGCATCTCGTCTTCTGAAGAATTAATCATGTAAAGAAGAATTCGTGTACCTGAGCTGTGAGATAAAAGGCAGACACTGCAGCAAACTCCTCACTTCACTCTCTTCATGTGAGCAGCCTGTCAGCTCCACTTGTTTCTTCTCTGGTTGGAGTTTCAGCAGCTCCAGGAGGATGGAGGTCTTTCTCTCTGAGAGGTCTATGGACCAGACTGCAGGAGCTGACTGGAAAACTGGCTGTAATGATGGAAGGACACTCAGACCTGTTTTAGTCTCATAAGAGTACAGATCCAGGAGGAAGTCACACCATTTCTCTTTAAGAGGACTGTTTTTGTATCTGCACACTGATGCTAACAGCTCCAGGATCTTCTCTCCTGTCTGCTGCTCTCTCTCTGCTGCTGCACAGAACAGACTCACAAAGATCCTCGTTCGGTCTTCATCTGATGTCTCAGCATCAACTCTGCAACAATAAGAAGGAAACATTCAGTGATGATTTGATGTGAGCTGCATTGAAACAACCACACACTGCTGACACACTTTGCAATGTTTGTGAGTTTAATCTGGATCTTTGCTGATTTTCTGTCTTCAGTAAAATGAAACTTTGATAAAAATCAGAGTCTGTTTATTTCTTTGGAAGTCAGCAAACTCATAAATTGAGCAGAGGATCAAATAATTATGTCACTGCTGTAAAAAGGTAGAACACTGTGAGAACAGCTGTAATACAGTGTTGTATTATTCATGTACGTCGGAGTATTTGGAGAGTTTAGATTTTATATTTGCTATGGTCACTGAATCCTGGTATTTCTTGGTTTAATGCAGTAACGTCTGTTTTCTACAATGTTTCTATGACAGGAAATGCTGTTTGCGTTGGATTCTCTATGATGAAGGAGATGGCGAGCCACCTCTGAACCTCATCACCTCCTTAGCCTGAGCAGCTGCTCTGAGCTTTCACTGTGCCAGACGAGGAGGCCACGCCCCCTTTTTCAGCCTTCACCTGGGCTCACCTGTGTGAAAGCACAGCACCAAACAGCTTAGCTGCTGTGTTTCATTCAGGAGCACTTTGGAAGTGAACCTGACTGGACGTCTTTACTAAAACTGACTGACTACAAACCAGAGGAGCCAACGACAGAACTTCCAAACTTAAACATCCCAGAGACACTTTCCTGCATCATCAGGTGACTCCTTGTGATGAGGGAGCAGCTAAAGTAGCCTTGATCACTTCAATATCAACATTGTGTTCGTGACGTTTACACTCGTCTGTCAGGCTGTGTGAAATATTCACTAGTGTTTTGTGATCATTCACATTTGACTTGAAAGAAGAAGTTTCAGTACATTGAAGTTACAGCTCTGAGTGGCTCCAGCTGCTCAGTGAGTCTCTTTCTCTCTTAAAGCCTCAAACTCAGACTCTGGCCCTGCTCATTTAATATTCTGCAAACCTTCAGTGAGTTATGTTTGCATTGTGTGATCAATATTTGTATGTTCTGTATCACTTTGTGCGTTTTCCTTTTCCTGTCATGGAGACAGCTCAGACCTGCTGGCGTCTCCAGGTCCTGCTGAGCTTTCAGGTTATGTGATAAATGCTTTGGAAGCCATGGATGGGCCTCACTTTAGACCAGCTCACACAACATACTTCACTAACAACCAGTAACTGTCTGAATTAACTCAGGAATATCTGTAACACATGTACAACTTTATAAAGTGTTCGTCCATCATTGGAAAAGTATCAGACTGCTGTCATTGAACATGTTATATTTGAGCCTCTTCAGCAAAACTTCATCATGTGTATCCATGTTTATGAACGACATACTGAGGAGGAGTAATGCTTCATAAATGATGAAACAAGTATTAACTAACACTAATGCTGAAGAGTGTGCAGCTGTTATAAAGTGTTAGCAGCAAAACACTAAACATCAACAATACAGAAACACACAGAGGGGAACAACAACATCTACAACAGCAGCTTCACCTGCTGCTCACATCACACACGTGGAAATCACATATTTACTAACATTTTACAGTTAATTCATTTACATTAAGATTTGTTTACACTGAAAATTAGACTCAATTAATATTTTCTGGTTCAGAAAAGTCTTAAACACAAAGATTCACATGTTAGTGGCCACGTTGAGCCTCCTGTCAGTGTTTAGTTTCACCAGACTAGCTCTCTGTACCTGGCTATATCACCATGGTAACAGATGCTGAACACAGCCTGGTGTAGATCAGGTTATGTTCAGTGTCAGATTAAAATCAGCTGTAAGTGACACATTTTCTCTGAGTCTTTTATGTCCAGTCTGCTCTGAGCTGGAGCTCATGATAACATGAACGTCACAAACTCCTTCACCAGATTGTGTGTCAGAGCTGAATGCAGCGAGTAACCTTTCATGTTTAAGTGGATCGAGGTCAAAGTGTCACAGCTGTCAGCTTACAAATAAACTGCAGCACAGAGCGCTCACACACATTCATTCATTCACATGTTAATGATTGCTACCAGCATCGCTTAGTCTCCTTTGATGCAGCAACAGTGTTGCCTGTGTTGTTATAGTTACATATTGTTTATAGCTCTGTGTCACCTGTTAATGTAACAATATTTCTTATTAATGGAGGTGAAATCAGTGGGTCTGCTTTGTGTGGAAGAAGACAGAAATAACGTATGAATGGTCGTTGTGTGGATGTGGAGAAGAGAGGCCCCAAATGCAGGCTGAAGCTGAACATCCTGGATGACTCAAACGGTTTCCCTCTGCAGTGAAAGCTGCTTGATGCTGTTTTGTTTTAAAGCCCATCAGAAACACATAAATACCTTAACAGTACAATTTTTATTAATATTTTTAATGAAGCTTTTTTCCCAGGAGGTCTTAGTGATGCTGTAAATGTCAATAAGTGCAGTTTTATTCTCACAGACAAACTGTCACATGTTAAAAAACTGTTGAAGGTAAACGTTACAAATTTGTGGACTCATTTCTATAAACTGGCTTCAATCAAGCAGCAACTAAATTGTCAAATAGAGCTAAAATATTTTCATGAATTATTTTCAGCACTCATTTATTGACAGACCGACTTTATTGTGTGAAGAACATGTCGTGTACCTGAGCTGTGAGATAAAAGGCAGACACTGCAGCAAACTCCTCACTTCACTCTCTTCATGTGAGCAGCCTCTCAGCTCCACTTGTTTCTTCTCTGGTTGGAGTTTCAGCAGCTCCAGGAGGATGGAGGTCTTTCTCTCTGAGAGGTCTATGGACCAGACTGCAGGAGCTGACTGGAAAACTGGCTGTAATGATGGAAGGACACTCAGACCTGTTTTAGTCTCACAGTCCTTCACATGGGAGCACAGATCCAACAGGAAGTCAATCTGATATTGCTTCAGATCATCATCATCTTCCTCCAAGCGTCTCTCATGAAGAGGGAATGTTTGATATGTGCACACTGATGCTAACAGCTCCAGGATCTTCTCTCCTGTCTGCTGCTCTCTCTCTGCTGCTGCACAGAACAGACTCACAAAGATCCTCGTTCGGTCTTCATCTGATGTCTCAGCATCAACTCTGGAACAATAAGAAGGAAACATTTAGAGATGATTTGATGTGAGCTGCATAAAAACAGCCACACACTGCTGATGGACTCCATGTTGTATATAATGAAAGTCCATTTTAAAGCCATCTTCCATCAGAGCAGCTGAGCATAGTATTTAGACAGTTACTGACTCACAACACAAACACTCAGCCTGTGTGTGAAATCACTGCGTTCTGAACCCTAACTGTTATTTTGTTCGCTGTCTGACTTTAGAGAGTCAAACACTAAACATCAACAATGCAGACACACACAGAGTGGAACAACAACATCTACAACAGCAGCTTCACCTGCTGCTCACATCACACACCTCTCTGCTGTCTGACATCTTCATCTGCTCACTATAGAGCTGCTACCACCATCATCATCATCATGCTCAGTAAAACAAAGTCAGAGATAAAGTCCAGCTGCATGTAACTCATTCATTTACTGAGTTACGTCACTGAAGGACTCGTTGAGTTTGCTTTCATGCTGTTTCCATGGCGATGATGGATTCAGGTGTAAAGGATGTTTCTGGCATGTGTGCACTCCAACACTCTGCAGCAGGAGCTCAGTCACATGATCCTATCAAATATAAATCTAACCTTTCTGATGAGAACGTCTTTATTCTAGATCCTGATAAGCATTAAAAGTCGTCTGATATTTATAGAAAATATGAAACTTCATAGCAACAAACAGCTGAACACGTCAGTGAAACACAGGGATGGACTGAGAACGTTTCCCTCTGAAATATGACAGAGTCTGAATACATTTATAACATGATCCATGTAGATGAGGTCAAACATATGATGCTGATGACAAACAGGCAGCACAAGACAAAATCATCACTTTACAATTCATGGAGCTCCAAATATTTCCATCACTTATTTTCACACCACATCTTCTCTTACAGATATTTGACTCATGTGAAGAGCGTGTTATTTACCTGAGCTGTGAGATAAAAGGCAGACACTGCAGCAAAATCCTCAATTCACTCTCTTCTTCTTCTTCTTCTTCTCCCCACAACAACAGCTTCACTTGTTTCTTCTCTGGTTGGAGTTTCAGCAGCTCCAGGAGGATGGAGGTCTTTCTCTCTGAGAGGTCTATGGACCAGACTGCAGGAGCTGACTGGAAAACTGGCTGTAATGATGGAAGGACACTCAGACCTGTTTTAGTCTCACAGTCCTTCACATGGGAGCACAGATCCAACAGGAAGTCTCTCTGATAATCTTCATCCATGCGTCTCTCATGAAGAGGGAATGTCTGATATGTGCACACTGATGCTAACAGCTCCAGGATCTTCTCTCCTGTCTGCTGCTCTCTCTCTGCTGCTGCACAGAACAGACTCACAAAGATCCTGACTGCTTCATGACGATTCCAAACATGAACACTGTAACAATAAGAAGGAAACATTCAGAGATGATTTGATGTGAGCTGCATAAAAACAGCCACACACTGCTGATGGACTCCATCTGGTCCATGGTTCCTGTACATAATGACGCTCCATGTTAAATATATCATAAAAGAGGGAAACATATAGTGGGGCAAAAAAGTATTTAGTCAGCCACCGATTGTGCAAGTTCCCCCACCTAAAATGATGACAGAGGTCAGTAATTTGCACCAGAGGTACACTTCAACTGTGAGAGACAGAATGTGAAAAAAAATCCATGAATCCACATGGTAGGATTTGTAAAGAATTTATTCGTAAATCAGGGTGGAAAATAAGTATTTGGTCAATAACAAAAATACAACTCAATACTTTGTAACATAACCTTTGTTGGCAATAACAGAGGTCAAACGTTTACTATAGGTCTTTACCAGGTTTGCACACACAGTAGCTGGTATTTTGGCCCATTCCTCCATGCAGATCTTCTCGAGAGCAGTGATGTTTTGGGGCTGTCGCCGAGCAACACGGACTTTCAACTCCCGCCACAGATTTTCTATGGGGTTGAGGTCTGGAGACTGGCTAGGCCACTCCAGGACTTTCAAATGCTTCTTACGGAGCCACTCCTTTGTTGCCCGGGCGGTGTGTTTTGGATCATTGTCATGTTGGAAGACCCAGCCTGGTTTCATCTTCAAAGTTCTCACTGATGGAAGGAGGTTTTGGCTCAAAATCTCACGATACATGGCCCCATTCATTCTGTCCTTAACACGGATCAGTCGTCCTGTCCCCTTGGCAGAAAAACAGCCCCATAGCATGATGTTTCCACCCCCATGCTTCACAGTAGGTATGGTGTTCTTGGGATGCAACTCAGTATTCTTCTTCCTCCAAACACGACGAGTTGAGTTTATACCAAAAAGTTCTACTTTGGTTTCATCTGACCACATGACATTCTCCCAATCCTCTGCTGTATCATCCATGTGCTCTCTGGCAAACTTCAGACGGGCCTGGACATGCACTGGCTTCAGCAGCGGAACACGTCTGGCACTGCGGGATTTGATTCCCTGCCGTTGTAGTGTGTTACTGATGGTGACCTTTGTTACTTTGGTCCCAGCTCTCTGCAGGTCATTCACCAGGTCCCCCCGTGTGGTTCTGGGATCTTTGCTCACCGTTCTCATGATCATTTTGACCCCACGGGATGAGATCTTGCGTGGAGCCCCAGATCGAGGGAGATTATCAGTGGTCTTGTATGTCTTCCATTTTCTGATGATTGCTTCCACAGTTGATTTTTTCACACCAAGCTGCTTGCCTATTGTAGATTCACTCTTCCCAGTCTGGTGCAGGTCTACAATACTTTTCCTGGTGTCCTTCGAAAGCTCTTTGGTCTTGGCCATGGCGGAGTTTGGAGTCTGACTGTTTGAGGCTGTGGACAGGTGTCTTTTATACAGATGATGAGTCCAAACAGGTGCCATTCATACAGGTAACGAGTGGGGGACAGAAAAGCTTCTTACAGAAGACGTTACAGGTCTGTGAGAGCCAGAGATTTTCCTTGTTTGAGGTGACCAAATACTTATTTTCCACCCTGATTTACAAATAAATTCTTTACAAATCCTACCATGTGAATTCATGTATTTTATTTTCACATTCTGTCTCTCACAGTTGAAGTGTACCTCTGGTGCAAATTACTGACCTCTGTCATCATTTTAAGTGGGGGAACTTGCACAATCGGTGGCTGACTAAATACTTTTTTGCCCCACTATATCATCTCAGTTGCAGCACATAACTAATTTATTAATCCTCATAAAAACAAGAAAACACAAATATTTTAGAAATTTGTCAAAATTCCACTTTTAGAAGCTTCTTTAAATCAAGAAGAGACGGTAAAAACTTTACTTTAAGATTAAATGAATAGAAAAGTTGTTTTCTGCTTTCTTTGTAAAGTAACTATATACTATGTGTATACTGCATGTGGTGAACGCATGTTCTCCATCAAAACTCTTCACTAAGCTTCTGAATACAATCTGACTTACCTGAGCTGTGAGATAAAAGGCAGACACTGCAGCAAACTCCTCACTTCACTCTCTTCATGTGAGCAGCCTGTCAGCTCCACTTGTTTCTTCTCTGGTTGGAGTTTCAGCAGCTCCAGGAGGATGGAGGTCTTTCTCTCTGAGAGGTCTATGGACCAGACTGCAGGAGCTGACTGGAAAACTGGCTGTAATGATGGAAGGACACTCAGACCTGTTTTAGTCTCATAAGAGTACAGGTCCAGGAGGAAGTCACACCATTTCTCTTTAAGAGGACTGTTTTTGTATGTGCACACTGATGCTAACAGCTCCAGGATCTTCTCTCCTGTCTGCTGCTCTCTCTCTGCTGCTGCACAGAACAGACTCACAAAGATCCTCGTTCGGTCTTCATCTGATGTCTCAGCATCAACTCTGCAACAATAAGAAGGAAACATTCAGTGATGATTTGATGTGAGCTGCATTGAAACAACCACACACTGCTGACACACTTTGCAATGTTTGTGAGTTTAATCTGGATCTTTGCTGATTTTCTGTCTTCAGTAAAATGAAACTTTGATAAAAATCAGAGTCTGTTTATTTCTTTGGAAGTCAGCAAACTCATAAATTGAGCAGAGGATCAAATAATTATGTCACTGCTGTAAAAAGGTAGAACACTGTGAGAACAGCTGTAATACAGTGTTGTATTATTCATGTACGTCGGAGTATTTGGAGAGTTTAGATTTTATATTTGCTATGGTCACTGAATCCTGGTATTTCTTGGTTTAATGCAGTAACATCTGTTTTCTACAATGACAGGAAATGCTGTTTGCGTTGGATTCTCTATGATGAAGGAGATGGCAAGCCACCTCTGAACCTCATCACCTCCTTAGCCTGAGCAGCTGCTCTGAGCTTTCACTGTGCCAGACGAGGAGGCCACGCCCCCTTTTTCAGCCTTCACCTGAGTTCACCTGTGTGAAAGCACAGCACCAAACAGCTTAGCTGCTGTGTTTCACTCAGGAGCACTTTGGAAGTGAACCTGACTGGACGTCTTTACTAAAAGTGACTGACTACAAACCAGAGGAGCCAACGACAGAACTTCCAAACTCTTCAACATCCCAGAGACACTTTCCTGCATCATCAGGTGACTCCTTGTGATGAGGGAGCAGCTAAAGTAGCCTTGATCACTTCAATATCAACACTGTGTTCGTGCTGTTTACACTCGTCTGTGACGCTGTGTGAAATATTCACTAGTGTTTTGTGATCATTCACATTTGATTTGATAGAAGAAGTTTCAGCACATTGAAGTTACAGCTCTGAGTGGCTGCAGCTGCTCAGTGAGTCTCTTCCTCTCTTAAAGCCTCAAACTCACACTCTGGCCCTGCTCATTTAATATTCTGCAAACCTTCAGTGAGTTATGTTTGCACTGTGTGATCAATATTTGTATGTTCTGTATCACTTTGTGCGTTTTCCTTTTCCTGTCATGAAGACAGCTCAGACCTGCTGGCGTCTCCAGGTCCTGCTGAGCTTTCAGGTTATGTGATAAATGCTTTGGAAGCCATGGATGGGCCTCACTTTAGACTAGCTCACACAACATACTTCACTAACAACCAGTAACTGTCTGAATTAACTCAGGAATATCTGTAACACATGTACAACTTTATAAAGTGTTCATCCATCATTGGAAAAGTATCAGACTGCTGTCATTGAACATGTTATATTTGAGCCTCTTCAGCAAAACTTCATCATGTGTATCCATGATTATGAACGACATACTGAGGAGGAGCAATGCTTCATAAATGATGAAACAAGTATTAACTAACACTAATGCTGAAGAGTGTGCAGCTGTTATAAAGTGTTAGCAGCAAAACACTAAACATCAACAATACAGAAACACACAGAGGGGAACAACAACATCTACAACAGCAGCTTCACCTGCTGCTCACATCACACACGTGGAAATCACATATTTACTAACATTTTACAGTTAATTCATTTAGATTTAGATTTGTTTACTTTGAAAATTAGACTCAATTAATATTTTCTGGTTCAGAAAAGTCTTAAACACAAAGATTCACATGTTAGTGGCCACGTTGAGCCTCCTGTCAGTGTTTAGTTTCACCAGACTAGCTCTCTGTACCTGGCTATATCACCATGGTAACAGATGCTGAACACAGCCTGGTGTAGATCAGGTTATGTTCAGTGTCAGATTAAAATCAGCTGTAAGTGACACATTTTCTCTGAGTCTTTTATGTCCAGTCTGCTCTGAGCAGCACAGTCTGTGAACCACATGGTCACACAAGTTTCCATGTATGCAGCTGCTGATGCAGTGTGAAAGAGATGTGGAGCCTAATCTGCTGCACATCTGTTTCACACATCAGAACATCCATCAGTCTGTGTTTAGTCCATTTATCACAGAGAAGATCCACCAACAACATGAATGTCACTTTGATGTGGTGACAAACTCCTGTTTCCCTCTGCAGTGACAGCTGCTTGATGCTGTTTTGTTTTAAAGCCCATCAGAAACACACAAATACCTTAACAGTACAACTTTTATTAATATTTTTAATGAAGCTTTTTTCCCAGGAGGTCTTAGTGATGCTGTAAATGTCAATAAGTGCAGTTTTATTCTCACAGACAAACTGTCACATGTTAAAAAACTGTTGAAGGTAAACGTTACAAATTTGTGGACTCATTTCTATAAACTGACTTCAATCAAGCAGCAACTAAATTGTCAAATAGAGCTAAAATATTTTCATGAATTATTTTCAGCACTCATTTATTGACAGACCGACTTTATTGTGTGAAGAACGTGTCGTGTACCTGAGCTGTGAGATAAAAGGCAGACACTGCAGCAAACTCCTCACTTCACTCTCTTCATGTGAGCAGCCTGTCAGCTCCACTTGTTTCTTCTCTGGTTGGAGTTTCAGCACCTCCAGGAGGATGGAGGTCTTTCTCTCTGAGAGGTCTATGGACCAGACTGCAGGAGCTGACTGGAAAACTGGCTGTAATGATGGAAGGACACTCAGACCTGTTTTAGTCTCACAGTCCTTCACATGGGAGCACAGATCCAACAGGAAGTCACTCTGATATTTGTCATTGTAATGAGAATGAAGAGGGAATGTCTGATAAGAGCAGACTGATGATAGCATGTTGAGGATCTTCTCTCCTGTCCTCTGTTGTCTATCTGCTGCTACAATGAAGAGATTCATCAACAACTCAGTTTGATCTGAGAGATTTCCTGATGACTGACAGAAACTGGAAGAAAGAAAAGGAAACACGATGTGATGATTTGATCTGAGAACAACAAACAGAAACAAGCAGCACTGATACCGTCCTAGATTTGTCTCAGATAAATATCTCCAGCATTAAAAATACATTAAAGCCATAAGGTCAGTACTACAGTTGGTTCAATTATTTCTATAAAGTAACTCAACTGGATTTTAAACCACAATTGAAGATCACATGAAAACATTGAGTGTTTAATAAGTAAAACCAAAGAGCATACCTGAGTGAGTGGATGTGGGGTAAATGGTGTAAGAGGAACGAGCTCGCACTTTGACAGACTCTGTGATCACAGTGAAGGCAGACTTTCACCTTCCTCTTCCTCTTCTGCAGGACTCTCACAGCTCCGTCATACAGTTGTGTTTCACTGTTGACTGGGAGGTGCAGCTGATTCTCAGTGAAGTCAAGTAAACTCACGTAATCCACGTCCCCATCAGTCAGAAGAGAAATGGTCCACAGCTGGCGTGACATGGAGTCACTCCTACAGTTGGAAGGTTGGTAGAGAAATTCATTAGTTCACATGTAATCAGCTGCTGAGAACAAAGTCTATTTGTGTAGATTCATGCTGAAACTGAAGAACCATGTTCGCCTTTTTCATGCAAAACTCCTAATTTGTGCAAAGCTGCAAGAGGCTTAAGAGGATTGACTCTGCATACGATATAAACCAGAGACGGGTGAGCTGATGTGAGTTTGCAGCCTTCAAGGTTTAGAAAGTAAATCTTAAACAAGTGTAAAATCTACATTCAAAATACGAACAGATATAGTCAGCAGAGTCACCGCAGTTTGAACAGGATGTAAGAATCATTCTGTCTACAGAAATAACACCATATAAGACACATGTGGAGCTTCAAATGTTAGAGATCCTGCAACTGGCTTTTGGGGCTGTGCAGGGCTCTCTCTTCTGGAAGATGATTGAATAAAAAGAAATATAAAATGTTTTGACCACTATGAGTCAGATTTTCTCTGTTCTATCATGGGGACAAAAGAATCGGGGTTTAATACTAATTTACCTCTTGTAGCAGTTTTTATCTCTGGTTATAAGGACAACTTTACCCTCCTAGGATGTGGCGTCCACATATGGGGACATCACAATTTGGTTGCCTACTAGACAACAATACTAAGTTTTGCTCTTTCAAATGAACCATGTGGCTCAAAGGGGCACAATTGTTGTTTCTCATTTTGTTTTTGTACTCAGGAAAAATGCTGCTGTGTTCAGACACCAAATAAAGAGTTTTGTACATCATTACTCAATTGTGACTGTATAGTGTTCTACTATAAAGTCACAAGAGCAAAGAGAAATGTAAAATGCATGAAAGAGTTCAGGTGTTAGGAGGTTAATGGACTGATCATTGCTGACGTGTTTGGGTCTTGCTGTTTGGTTAGAAACTAAAAAACAAAGATACTTCTCTTAAATCTTAAAGGTTTTGACTCACTGTCAGCTTGTTTGTTGTGTTCAGGAGACGAGCTAATATTTATAATTCATTGTACATTAATGAGAAAACTGTATTGAACTAACAGACTAACAACATCAAAATTTATCTAAACACATTTTTGTCAAGGAAATCCTTATATTTATGTTTATATGTGAACTAGAGGGTGAGACATTTTGACTTAGTGGATTTTAACTGAACACAAGGTAACAAAGGCAGTATGTTTCTCATTGGAGAATAAAAGCTATACGTGTCTGCCTGGTAACTCAGGAGTAACAGCTACAAATGAACACAGCATTAATCTGGGAGATAGGTCTGTTACTAACCTTACTTTGGGTTGTCTTTAGCACTGCTCATGGCCTCTGATCGTGAAATTAACTTCACAATAATTATGAGACCATGGGTCAGTGTGATGCAGTGGTGCTAGTTTACAAGTTAAATGTGCTTCAGCTGAGACTGAAAATGTCTTAAATAAGTAATAAAATCTCTCATTCAAATGACAAACGTCCAGGTAAAAGTTAGTTAGCTTTCTGGGATCCCCTCACCTGGATTATTATGTATGCATCAAGACTAAAGAATAATGTTACCAAATACCTAAAGACTACGTACAAACTTTCTGCTGTCTACAACTCACTGGAAACATGATGAAACAAAGCTGAAACAAATCCTTCTCACTACTATGTTTTCATTTTTCACTTTAAGAAAAACACATACTGCTCTAAATCACTGAATGCTTTACATTTAAAACATTAAAAACAGATGTACAGAACCCTTTAACTTCAGATCTAAATGTTCTCACTTACCTTTGAAGTTTGCTGAGGCATCCCAGCAAAGGCCTCATTCCCTGTTTTGATACTGTTGTATCCTCCAGGTTCAGCTCTATTTTCCTCTCCTGACTCTGGCTGATTACATAGGCCAGAACACAACACTGCTGAGGATCAAGAGTCTCTCCACTCACATCAATACAGTAGTCCAGTTTATCCAGGAGACAGAGGCAGGCATCAGGTGACTGAGACTCATAGAGGCATTGACATAAGAACATTAAGTCCATTTCACAGTCTTCACTGTCACTGCAACCTACAAAGGTGGTCACCAAGTGTTTGAAGAACCAGTCAGACGTGTCTCTGAGCTGCTGAGGAGGAAGGAGACCTTCTAACAAATCAGTGTTCTTCTCATTCAACAGTCCACACAGGAAAGGGACCAAGTGTTTCATGTGTTTGCTGCCCTGAACCAGACACTGCTGTAGAACACATCTGGTCTTCTCTGGATCCTTTAAGACCCACAGAGCTGCAAAAAACTCCTGAACCGTGTAGTGGAGAAAGGCACACAAGGGTTTCTTTACAGTTGGGCTGATTTGAATCAGAAGCTTGCTCAAAATGGCCAAATTAGCACAGCTGTCTAGCTTGGGCAGTGATGTTAGGCTCACATTTTTCCCTTCTGATGCACAAAAAGCTGCCTGAGATAAAGACAGTATTGCATCCCATTTAGTGCTTTCATTTTCAGGTGTCTTGGAAACATTTCTCTGATTGCAGAAATGGAGGATATTGAGGTATATTTCAGTAACTGTGCAGGGATGTGGAGAGAAATCTGAGCCCTCAAAGCTAAAGCAGGCGACCACCATCAGGGCGTACATGGGGACGTGGCAAAGAGAGAATAACTCCAAGTTACACAAGACTTTGTTGAAGTGATCCTCACTCAGATTCTTGGATAAGTACTCTCTGATGCCCTGCTCACTGAAGCCTTTCACTTCCACTCTGAGACAGTCCCAATCCAACAGGAAGTCTGCTGACTCCACCTCTGGTCTGCAGGTGATGATGATCTTTGCTTCAGGTAGAAAGGTCTTCTGTATGAGCTTAAACACCACAGATCTAGAGCCAACATCTGTAACTCCATCAAAAATAATGGTAACACTGTCAGCATTATTCTTTATGTCCTCTAAGACCTCATCTTTGCCTTTATCTGGTTCACAGAACACACTGAAGAGAAGATCCTCCAGTTTATGGACCTCTGTGATGTTGGGTGCTTCTCTCATATCAAAGTAGAACAAGTAATCTAGATCCTTGTTATCTTTCTCTGACCACAGTTTCAAAATCTGATGGACCACAGCTGTTTTCCCAGTTCCAGGTTTTCCTACCAAAATGATTTTTCTTTCATATGTTTTCAGCAGTTCACTGGGAGAGGTTCCATGTTTGTCCTCGGGTATGTACGTTTTTAGTTTTTTAGGTCGAACCTTCCTGCTTTTCTTGATCTTTGACTTTTTTATTTTGGATGCTGAAGCCTGTCCTGGTGTGTCTAACACAAGCGAGGTGTAGGACAGGGAGTTCTCCTTGTTGAACAGGACTGCTTTACTTCGGGCCCATGATCTTTCTGAAATCTTCTGAGCTTTAAATTTCAACTTTTGCTGGTATCTGTGGCACGGTTTAGGGCCTGAAAGAAAAGAGGTGTGGGAGAAAAAAAAAGCAGAACAATTTAATGTCACTGGACAGCATCACAATATGGATGGATTAAAAATCATCAATACGTTAAAATCATTTCAGTTTAAAAAATACCTTGTACATCCATGTTGGTGTCCTCCCTGAAGGAAAAGCAGCTGATCCAGTAGTTGAGATCAAACATGTTGGACAGAGAGGACAATGACTCTGGATTTTCTGCAAACGACAGTGATCTCTCTCCAGAGGTTCTCCTTGTTGTGTCAATAATCCTGAGAAACTCATAGCAAGCTTCTTCCCCCATTTCTATAACATAGTCAACAATTCTTCTGGTTTTGTCAAATCCATCACTCTCTGACTTTATTTTATTCACATCTTCCTCTGAGAAAAATCCTCTCGTGGACAGGTTCTCCACAATCTCAGTGAACCCCTTTAATGTTCTCACCAGGTGGTCTCTGGCACTCCTGACGTAATCCAAGGCTGACTGAGATGCACAAGCCATGATCTTTACTTGCTGGTTTTCAGAGGTCCTGTTCAGAGAAAAAAAATATATATCAGGGTGAACAACGTGGATTTCAAACAGTGATTTATTCTTTGTGGCATGGAGTGTTCGGTTAAAGCAGGATAAAGCTCACCTCTCTTTTTAATTATCACTGCTGTGCAAATACATGACACTGATTAGTCTGCGCCCCAGGATTAGAAATCTGGTTGGAAAACAGGCAACATTTAGTTTGTGTATTGGCCTTTGTTACGGCCCTAGCAGGGCCTCCTCCTGAAGTTGCCTGTGTGTGCATGTCCTACTGAAGGTCCTGTCTTAGGACTCCTATCAGAAATTAAAGGTATTTAAGGCCAGAGAAAGATGAGCTCTGGTGCCAGATAGCTGTTTTTGGTGGGTGCAGTTAGTGAGCGGTGTTCGGTGACTAAACTTTTTTTTTTTAACTTTTCAGTTTACTGACCTACGCCTGAGTTTTGGGCTGGTTTCCTTTAATGCTCACCTCAATGCACTATATGGGTTCTGGAACTAGCCCCCAGGAGAGGGGACGAGGAGATTTAGGAGACGTTCAGAGTTCATTTTTGGATTTTTTTTTAAATATAATTTAAAAGAAAAGGACAGTCAATATTATCTTAAGATTAGTTACCATAGCAACAACTTATCTTAAACACATTTAAACACTAAACACTTGGTTTTAAAACTTGAAGACCAAATTCTTTACATTTTGAAGCCAGACTTGGTCATTTTGAAAATGATCTTGAGCCATAGTTCTCCAAGATTTCTAAAGCCAGTAGTGTGTGAGAATTGACTGAATTATAAAGCTAGCAAAGAACCGTTAGATTTTAATCCTCTGTGCAAAACCATCTAGCAAGTGTCTGATTGACAGCTGCTTCATTTTGCAGCATGCCTTGTTTGCTGATGATATTTTGATTTACTTGACAAATCCAAACACTACTTTCCCTAAGCTGTTGTCACTTCTGGAGATCTTTAGCTCAATATCAGGTTATAAACTAAATATATCGAAGACTCAGATATTAACTTTTAATTATAAGCCAAATCACGAAATTAAGTCTAAAGCTAATTTGAAATGGGAGTCGGAGCAGATGAAGTATCTTGGAGTAAATATTACTAAAGATCTCTCTAAGATATATAATGCAAACTTTAATCCTTTGTGTTATAAAATAAAAGAGGATATTAAAAGATGGGATTTATTACCATTTTTAAATTTTGAATCATGTATTGATACAGTTAAAATGAATATCTTGCCCTGGATCCTTTATCTGCAAACACTCCCAGTTGAAATAACTGATAAACAATTTCAGGAATGGGATAAAATAATCTCTAGGTTCATATGGCAGGGAAAAAACCACGGATTAAGTATCAAACTATTCAGTTGGCTAAAGACAAAGGGGGGTTGGGGTTCCCATGTTTGAAAGATTATTATATTTCAGCTCAATTGAGGATATTAGTGTGTTGGTGTAATGTAGACTACCAAGCGAGATGGAAAGAAATAGAAATAGAAACAGTGGCCTTAAGAGATTTTCCAATTCAAGCAATCTTAGGGGATGTGACACTCATTAAAAAACAAATTCATCAAGGAAACCAATGGATTAACCTGCCTTTAAAACTTTGGTTACAATTTCTTAATAAGAATGATTGGAATGAAGAGGTTAGGATTTTAAGATGGTGCGCTTTTGATTTTGATTTTTTACCCAATAAGTTAGATGTAAGATATAAAAAATGGGCAGGACAAGGTTTAATGGCATATTGTATGTTTTACGATAAGGGAATTCTTAGGGACTTCCAATCAGTAAAAGATCAATACCAGTTAAGTAAAACGTATTTTTTTAGGTTTCTTCAAATTAGACATCACCTATATAACTTTATACCTAAGAGAACAGATCTTTTCTCTTTACCTGTTTTGAGTATATTTGTCAAGGCTTACCAGGCAGACCCCGGCCTCAAGGTGATTTCTAGACTGTATAAGGGTATACAAGAGGTTAAGAACTGGAATACTACCTACATCAAAAAAAATGGGAAAGGGAAACAAATACAGCAATTTCAAATGACATTTGGTATCAGCAGTGTGCTTTTCAGTGGAGAATTTCTAGTTCTAATTAGGGCTGCCACGATTAGTCGACTAGTCACAATTACGTCGACTATTAAAATCGTCGACGACTGATTTAATAGTCGACGCGTCGTTTGAAGCTTTGTAAGATCACAAAAGACGCAGGAATAAGTAGCAGGATTTAAGAGTGTAATAACGGACTGAAACAGAAGATGGCAGCACTGCATGTACAAGGATGCCAGCTGCAGATAAACCCCGAAGAAGAAGAAGAAGAAGAAGCTGTGTCCCAGAATTCATAGCGCAGCCCAGTTCAGTTTCCAACAATGGCGGCAGCTAGTTAGTTTTAATATTACTCTTATTATTCTTTCTGGATCACAAAATAAACGTTTAACATATTTTCAGGCGGGAATGTAGCTGTGTAAACCTCAAATATCTGCTCAGTTTATCAAGACACCACATATTTTCAAAAGCGCTCCGACGTTTTCGGAGACGTCTGTTACCCACTAGCTCGATAGCTAGCCGGGGGCAAGGCTCACTAGAGCCGTGAGAACACCGGACTCCCGGCAAATCGTTTTCAAACCCACCGCCGTCTTTCGCTGCTCAGGTTAAACATATATAAGTCACTTAGATAACTTAAAAATGTTATTGTTTGGCTTTTTTTTTTAGTATTTTATTTGTTCCTGAGTAAATCAGTTTGGCTGAGATTAAAGTTATAGTTTTTACACAGCTGAATAAACATCAAGCAGACAACTGATTATCAGAAGTGTGAGATGCTCCAGAATTTACTCCGGTGTCCTGTTATATTTTAGATAGCAAGGAGTTTATTAAACTTCACCGAAACAATCTGCAAATTTCATTAAAATTTAATAAACTGTCATCCTGTCTTTATTTTTAGTTAGCACAGACCTTAAACACTTAAAGCTAATGATAGTTATATAAGAGCAGATGCTGCTGGTGCAATAAGCTGTACTTTTTACATCCAATGGATGATGATCTGATTAGTCGACTAATCGCAAAAATAATCGGTGACTAGTCGACTATCAAAATAATCGTTTGTGGCAGCCCTAGTTCTAATATATGGAGATGTTTTGGTTGGAAGAGTCTCTGTAGGTTCTTTATTACTCCTGCACAAAGTAAACATTATTCTAATTACTCCAGCTGCTGGAGAAACTGTGGGGCCCAAGGAATAAAACATTTTCACCTGTTTTGGTCTTGCCCAATGATCAACATTTTTTGGGTATCGATTCATTCTGAGTTACAGATCATTTTTAGTATGCAACTTCCCTTTAATTGGGATGAACTTTTGTTTGGATATCTATACTCAGTGAATGTAGATAAAATGTCCAAGCTGTTGTATGGTATTCTGAGTCTGGCTGCCCGTAAGACTATTACCAAGAAATGGCTTAGTGTGAAAATTCCATCACTAAATGACTGGTATGAGATTGTATATGGGTTGTTTAAAATGGAAAGAATTACCTTCATTAATAGACTCCAATATGACATATTTAGTGATATTTGGGTTAAATGGAAACATTACATTTTGTCAAGGAGACCCGATCTTGTTTGAATCTCTGTAATTATGTATGCCATATTATGTGTGTGTGAGTGTGTGTGTGTGTGTGTGTGTGTGTATGTGTGTGTGAGTGTGTGTGTGAGAGAGCATATACACACTAGATGGTACACCCGTTTGTTTATGTTTATTTTCGATTATTTGTTTATTTTGGTTTATTTGTGTTCATATAGGTTGCTTATTAAAAAATAAAATATTAATTAAAAAAAACAAAAACATTTTGCAGCATGCCAATAAACCCAAACACTCCCATTCCGGGTTTGAAAAACACAGTAAAGCACCATCAGTCACAGACTGACCATGGACTGGAGGATCATCTTGACAGAGAACCAAACAAAAGGCAGCCAACATCCAAAGGAGAGCTTTGAAGAAGCCTGCAGAACTAGTCCCGAAGACTAGGGACGTTAAAAAGAATGGACTAACCAACTAGTCTAAAACCAACACACACTCAGATACCAAGTTAAAGCTTAGCCTTGATTAATGTCAAACACACATTAGACATAGTCATTGGAAAAGATGAATACTATCTTTCAGTAATCAGTCGTGCTGCTTAACTGTGTTAACAATCAGATTAAACAAGTAGTATTTCTGGTACGGACTATTGGCAACAGCAAAGATTAGCTGACCAGGTCACAGACGTTCCTCCTGATGAGCAAAAGTTCAGACTATTGGGGGGGGAAAGATGGTCATACCAAATACTGACGTTCTTTATAAAGTCATTATTTAGACTAATCTGCACATTTCAATGAACCACAGTACCCGTTTTCCATTTACCAAGAACATTTTAAAGAAACGAGGGCTGGCTCAAGACTTTTGACAAGTACTGTAATATTTCAAAGTATCAACTTGTTGAACCGATGTTATATAATTTTTTTCCCCTTTTTTTTTTTTTAAATGGGTCTACTTTATTTCTAGAAAATGTCAGTTTCATTTATGTGTATAAATTAGGGGTGCAACGATACACAAAATTCACGGTTCGGTTCGATACTTTGGTGTCACGGTTCGATATTTTTTCGATACAAAAAGAAATGTTCATGCCTTTTTAATTTGTCATTTATTAAAATTATAAATCCATCCATCCATCCATCCGCTTCCGCTTATCCTTTTCAGGGTCGCGGGGGGCGCTGGAGCCTATCCCAGCTGTCATAGGGCGAAAGGCGGGGTACACCCCGGACAGGTCGCCAGTCTGTCGCAGGGCTAACACATAGGGACAGACAACCATTCACACTCACATTCACACCTAGTGGCAATTTGGATTATCCAATTAACCTATCCCCACAAGCTGCATGTCTTTGGACGGTGGGAGGAAGCCGGAGTACCCGGAGAGAACCCACGCAAACACGGGGAGAACATGCAAACTCCACACAGAAAGACCCCGGCCTGATGGTGGAATTGAACTCAGGACCTTCTTGCTGTGCGGCAACAGTGCTAACCACCGTGCCACCGTGCTGCTCTAAATTATAAATATATATTTTAACTCAAAAGTACAGTTTTTAAATTTAACCCTAACCCTTGTGCGTGTTTTTTATTTTGACAGCGAATGCGCACCTGCGGACCACTTATGTGCAGCCCTGGTTATTTAGCTCGTCATATTGCAGCCACAGAAATTCTTTTGTCCATGAAACCATAAAGCTGCACTTTCTTTTTGCCTTATAGTCTGATTTGTCATAACTTCTCCGTTTTGTGGTAAGCTTTTCTTTGGCTGTCACTTCTTCACCCTGACCTGTCTTATTTGGCTCAGCAGAACTGAAATATATATCCTGCTGCTTTTACACACGCACTCACATAAGCTCAGCGATTCTCTGCGCGATCAACCTCTCACATGTTTAAGCTGCGGGAGATTTCACTTGTCATTAGGGCTGGGCCATATTATACCGTTCACGGTAATACCGGTATAATGTTAGGCAACGATAGGAAAATGAAATATCGCGATAGAATGGGAGTAAAACGCGCATGCGCAGTGCCTTTGTTTTCATACGCACATGGCCGATTGTTGAGTGAAACAGATGAACCAGAATTGGTTTGTAAAAATGGTGCAACTTCCGTGATGTGGAACTGGTTTGGTGTTTGTCCGTCAGATACACAACAAAGCACATTTTTTTGCAGAACATGCAAGCGGCCATCATTATTGTCGTATTTGTCGGACTAAGATGCTCTTAAATCTGGGAGTAATCTGGGTCCTAAACTCCGTATACTTCAGGTCAAACGAACACTGCAGCATCACTAAGAGTTAAAAACTGTCTAAATTCTTTCATCTTTAATAAAACGATCAGCATTGCTGCTTTACCAGGTGTAACTATGAAGTTTAACTTCCAGGCATCCATGAAAACAAAATGTATTACATTTAACGGAGTTAGAAGCTAGCAGGAAGCTAGCGGAAGTTAGCTCGCTAGTTTCGCTAGTTACCTAAACATGATGTAGCATGTTCTGACTGAGAGATTTATGAAAAAAATCAAACGTACAGCTCTGCTATCACTTCCAACATAAATGAAGACAGGAAACTAAACAGCAGTGACGTTTGTAGGGTTACTGAAGTTGGGCTAGCTGGTATATAATGATGTGCTACGTGATCGCTAGCGACACAGCTATGTTAGCATAACATAAACAGTGAAGCTGGAGGACGAACACTAACACTTTTCCACTTATAAAAGTTAACGTTAAGGTTCCTCATGGTTAGAAATAAATGCAATCGCATGGCAGGATGCTGTAAAAGGACCAAACTTCAGTCAGGAGAAAAACTGAGATAATCCATCCACAATATGAGGTCAGTCATTAATATACTGCAACAACATGGGAATAGAGCAGCTGCCAGAGAATTCAACATTAATGAATCAATGGTACAGAAGTGGAGGAAGCAAGAAGAATGAGTTTAATAAAGTTTGATTTATCTGACTGCTTTGTTTCGCTTAATGTGCCTTATAATCCTGTGCACCTTATTGTCCGAAAAATGCGTACTGCACACTGCAGTTTAATGTTGCAAAGCACCTCTTTTTAACTTCAGTGGATATTATACATGGTTATGCTCAGGATATGTCAGCCCATTTCTACTGGAAATGCCTTTTGGTTAAACTTTCAGCAAGGAATTTGCATTTGCACTGTTACATTTTTATAAAGCTTTAATGTACATAAAAACCAGCTTCTTGTTTAAGTGAAAATAAATGGAAGGTTGTCTTTTTGCGCTAGTAATGTTGTGGAGTTGTATTTTGTCTCGCATCAATTATATCGTCAGTTATATCGTTATCGCAAATTTTCAAATATATATCGTGATAAATATTTTTGGCCATATCGCCCTGCTCTACTTGTCATGTTTGCATAGTAAGCTAACGATTAATAAGACGATGTCAGAGGAATTGGTGCACAAATTATCATCACTCACAGATCAGTGCTGTCGCTCTCTATACACAGTTCGCGCGATTGCAAAGTGAAAGCAAAAAAACAAGCGCAAATTCAAACGCAACTTCAATATGTCACATATTGACAGTGGCTCACCGATGCCAATGACATAATTACCCAGCTACATTTCTGAAAGAATGCAAAAGCATTGACATATATATTTTTCCTACAATAGCCCGACGGGCAGGGAAGAGATAGATTTTGGTAGCCCGACTGAAAAAATCTCTAGCCCCGGGACGTCGGGCAGGCGATATTGCGAGCCCTGTATCTGATTGAGGAATCACTCATCTTTGGAAAAGAGAGTTTATTACAGAGAAATGTCTCTTTCCAAAATAAAAGCTATACTATCCGCTTCTTCTGGGCTATATTCTCAGCAGCATATTAAACATATCAGGTCTCCATAAGGAGAATCATGTGCTAACAGCTGTCTAAATGACTCGGGTAAAGTTTGTAGCATGCTGCTTGTTGTTTTTGTCTGCTTCCACTTGTCTTTGCACTAGGATGATGTCGGCGTAAATGTGCAGTCATATTCATTGTGTTCCCACTAGTGCTTTCAGGTTAATCTCGCTGAAATGACCTTAACGCCACAACACGGCAAATCTCCGTTAACGAGCTACCCCTGATCGCCCCGTGCATGGGGCTAGACGGCCAACACGTTAACGAGCTAACTGCGCTAACACACTAGCTCCCACCCATGTAATTGAGCATTGCGTGGCACATCCAACATACTGTTTTACTTTAGTCGATGACTCGCTTACCTTCAGGGTCATACGTCACATGAAAACCAAAATAATTCCAAACGCCAGATCTGAATGAGGGTGGGGGAGGTCCACTTCTGTCTCGCTAGCTTGCCCTGCGCTCTTCCTTCTGACTATGCTGTCTGTGTTGAGCGCTCAGTGGATCTGCGCTCGACAGTGCAGCCTAGGCGGAGTAGTCGAACGCAGATTCACTGAGCGCTCCACACAGACAGCATCGTCAGAAGGAAAGTTGATAAAATAAATTACAAATGTTGTATTGTTCGATACATATGCGTACCGAACCGAAAGCACTGTATCGAACGGTTCAACATCGATACGAATATCGTTGCACCCCTAGTATAAACATATGGAGCCATATTCTTGCTACAGAACTGCTACAAAAAACAGCAATGCAGTATTTAGCATGAAAATAATTTTATACTGAAATAAGTAGCAAAGTACGTATGCCCTGCATTTGCAATGTGTGTAAAAAGTATGACGTCGTTAAACTGTACCAGTGATGTTTTTGCCATCTATAAACCTGTGCAGCTTAACATTAGTAAAGCGAAAGTGAAGGTGGTTCCAGGATTCTTTGTTTCAGATCGACACGGATCACTTTTTTGTCTCAGTTTAAACAAAGATAACAAAGCCAGTCATTATTAAAGAGCCTAAAAATATAAAGAGGAGGAAAAACAAACCTTGTAGATCTTCTCAGTTTTCCTCATCTGCTGACAGGCCCACTCAGCATGTGCACCTGCGCACTCTGATAACCACGTGGCCGCTGTTTTAAGGCACAATCTGCAGTTTCTGAGTGTGGAAAAGAATCCGGTCTAATGTATTACGACAGTCTGCAGACTACAGAGTGAATTAAACCCTGTTTATTATTGCTGCTGTTACTTTGACATTTATCTTTGTGTAAAGTATTAATGGCAGTCTTCCTGGACTCGCATGTAAGAATGAGAATAGTTTTATTGATCACAGGGGGAAGTTTATATACATGAACATGTGCTGTACGCTTTCACTTAAACTTTTAATCCCATTAATCGTGATGACGGTGTTAGAGTTAACAGCCCGACAGCAAACGCACAAAAATGATGACACAGACTTGTAATTTGCACCGATGTGTTTTCTAAATTCGCAGCACTTGTTGACAGACACGTGACGTCCACACAGCGACATTTTAGTCTAAAAACATATTAAAAGTGGATTCTCGTATTCACGAGTCCGCGGCGTCCTTGAACACACCGGGCCGTTTTTAACCCGCACTTCAAACTTTCAAACGTAAATTAAAACCTATGAAAAATGAAAAGTGAGCAATGAGCTTATACCGAGGTAAACAGGGCGGGAAGACACACAACTGACCTGAACACTCAACATCCCGCGAACGTGACAAAGTTTCAGCCCATTAGGAAGCAGGAACAAAAGAGACTGAAGATAATCCGGGTTTGACCAGAATCACGTCCCACAAGAAACGAATACATTTCCTCCAACTTTTTCGTTCTTTTTCTTCTTCTTCCTGCTCTTCTTCCGCTTCTTCTTCTTCTAAATTATATTGGCGGTTGTCAAACAACAGAATGGTGCAATACCGCCACCAACTGGTATGGAGTGTGGTCCAGAATGTCACTTCAGGATTAGATGCTATCATATAAATGTGTTTGTCTAAGAAATCTAATATTACCTGATGATTTTTACTTCGTGAATTGTTTCTAAGTAAAGCATTTAACTCTAGCTTCACTTTGAGGTTTTGAATCAGTCTTCTTTCTTCCACATGGTCTTGACACTGTAACATAACACGCAATGTTACAGTGTTTCCCCTAAACTGAAGTGTGCTGTTTAACCCAGTGTGATCAAATCTGACATGTGAAGTGTTTGTTTCTTCTCTCCTCCTCCTGTCTCCTTCTCATTTCTCCAGTTTTCTTGTGGATTAAAAAACACTGTCATTTCCTTTCTTTCTCATGAATTAGACATTTATGGCACACTGCAAACTGCATTAAGTCCATGCCTGTTGAGGCTTTGCTATAGCTATATAAGTGGGATTTGTTATTCGAACGAGTGTTAATCGGCTACAAGCTGTGAGCGCAGTGCAGTGTAAAACTCTTCCTTCAGTCCTCACGCTGAGTGTTTAGAGGCGAGCACACTTGTTAGTCTTCAGTGATGAACTGAATTGATCTCCTTTTTCTCAGCACATAGCAAGTCACTCTCTCTGCTGCATCTACAACAAATAAAAGTGAAATATCTGTGAAAATGCAGCTTTTAATGAAACTGTTAGATTAATGCCTGCATGTTACATTGTGGTATTATCTGCTATTATGATCTGGCAGCAAATAATATGTTGTGTTTATTGCGCATTGCACAGGCCAGCTGTTACACACAAATTTCAGGGTGGTGTGGAACGGTTTTACTGATGCACCGCTCCTCCGGATCAATCTGAGTCCTAATCTTCAGAAGCCTTTAACCTCACCTCTGCTGTTAATAACGAGCCTGAGGGCTTTGGTAGCTAGTATAAGATCCACATTGGCTTTAGAAATCTTTCCCGGGGTAACTCCCTCCCCAGGTGGCGTTGTCAGCATTCCTTAGTCACCTTTACTGGTTATTGCTCCTTCGCCACAATGAGATGAACTTCTACAATGACAAAATCCTGTTACTGCTAATGTAACTAACTATGGTTCACACACACACACACACACACACACACACACACACACACACACACACACACACACACACACTTGAAAGATTGAAGGCAGGTGAAAAGTAAAAATTCGCTTCCTTTCCCGAAAAACGCAAACTTCAGAAGTACACCTCCCTCCAGTAAGCTTCTGATAAGCCAACATTACTACTCGGTCAGGATTTGGCACGCTCTTGGCAGCGTTTGACTTGTTTTTGGCGTTTACATGTGGGCGGAGAGATTTTAAGAACGGAAAGTCCCCGTTTTCATAAACACCCGTGTGCGTGAGGAGGCGTGGCTCTCTCCGTGGTAGTGATGGGATTTCCGGCTCTTTTTAGAGATCCTGCTCTTTCGGTTCGGCTCACTAAAAAGAGCCGGCTCTTTCGGCTCCCAACCGGCTCTTCAGGTTGTTTTGTTGCTTTAATTAATTTATTATTAACAATAATATAAAATTCTGCACAAAAGGAATTACTAACGTAAAACAAAGTGGTTTTATTTATATACCGGTATGTTTATATATAAATATATGCGGTGGCCCCTAGAGACAAAACACATACAAACTCCGAAACACATTTCTAGCATGAACTGAACTTCCAAAGCAGAGCTACTAGATCACTTAAATTACACAATTGAAAGCATGTGTGTATTGTTTGTGTATTTATACACAGGCACTCAAATATATTCAAATAATTTAATAAGTTCATTTACCTGTTACTACCACACACCAAATCCGGTTGTTGGTACTCTTGGCTTGTGTAGCCACAAGATAACAAAAGCTCAACACTGCGCCCAGCATCCTGGATCACTTCTGTTGTCTTTTGTACGTGTTTTGGAGTTTTTACGTGTTTTGGAGTTTGCACATGCTTCAGAGTTCGTACGTGATTTGAAGTTTGTATGTGCTTTGTCTGTAGAGGCCACCGTAAATATACTTTTATTTATTCACTCCACATAAAATGTAATAAATAAATCATATAATACAAAAATCAACTATTCACATTTCAACTTTTAGCTATTTAAATTTTCAGCTTTTTCCTTTTACAAATTTAAAGTGAAAACAACACAAAACACTGCAAACCACAACACAATTAAATATAAATTAAAATATGAAAACATAAAGAACATGCACATTCTCTGTCATATGGACCTGGATGAATAAACTTTCTGAATCCTTTATCATCTGCAACCGAAAATAGTTGTGGATGATTACTATACCTTTCTAATGTGACGTTGTTGTCCCTGGCTCTCTTTCTCTCTCTCTCCCTCTGGCTCTGTTCCTGCTACTGAGTGTAACTACCGCCCCTCCCCCCTCTGCCCAGCATAAAGCACAAGGCTCACGTGCAGGCGAGAGAGAGAGGGTGAGAGAAAGAAAAAGAAAAAAACCCACGTGACGGCTCGCGATAAGGAGCCGGCTCGCGTCGTTCACGTCAAAGAGCCGGCTCTAAGAGCCTTTTCGTTCGCGAACGACCCATCACTACTCCGTGGAATATGAGACAGTCTCGGTGAACAGCAGCTGCTCGGGTGTTTCCGTGTTCGTTACTTTTTTTCCTGAACTTTGTGTGAGTGGACCGTCGCCGCGTGAAGCTCCGTGTGAAGGTAACGCAAGGAGTGTGTAATGTTCGTGATGTTTCCCTGTGTGCAGCTTAGTTCACGGTGACGGACTCGCAGCTCAGACTGCGAACACGGCACCGCAACGAGGCCGTGTTCGCCATATTGTGTTAGTTTGTGCGATCACGTTTGGCACAACACCAGAATGTAGACACTCTGAGCTCCGGACGGAACTTTATCTTCACGGTGCTGCCAGAGGGAAAGACGGACTCAATCATTACTTGTTATAAACAGGACTGTTTTGGATTACACACAATGGCCTGTGAGTAAAAATACTGCGTCACACTGGCTGTTCTCCTGTAACAGGAAGTCGTCGTCTGTAAGGACGGTTGTTACGACACTTGTAACGTTTGTAACTCGGACAGACCGAGTAAGACTGATAAATATAATATAAAATGTAATAATCATATAAAACTGGGAGTATAAATTTTCAAGAGCGGGATCAATAAACAGATATGATAACGGCACAGATATCAGTAAAACCTTTAAATAGAAGCAGATCAGCTGATGGCAGCTTCCTCTGCCTCACACTGCTGTCTGACTGCATCCAGCTGACACTGAGAGGAAGCAGGAAAGAAGCAGCTGATATTTGGACAGCACACATGATGGAAAGCAGGGTTTCAGTTGATGTGCACATGAATGATTTGTGTTTCCTCTGCAGGTAGAAAGAGTGTGTGAGCTGAGCAGCATGGATCAGTGTGAGGACAGAGAGGAGGGAGCCCCTCCCTCTAAAAGCACTCTGTGTGGGGAACATGAGAGCCAGACCAAAGCTCAGAGGTGAGATGACCATCTCTAACTGTCCATGACTCTTCTCCATGTCACAGCTCAGCACTCACATCACACTCAAAGCTCCAATAAACACATGCTGGATCCAACCTGTAGTGTGTGGGAACATATAACTCAGGGTGTGACAAACACAGCCAGGCTCCACAGAACATGAGAGGACAGTTTAGAGGTTTGATCTGGTTGTGAAATAAATCATTCAACCACAAATCAAAGCTGTAAATAATGAATCCCTTCTTCTTCTTCTTCTATCCTGGTTATTTTTCTAGCATCAAACATCAACAAATACATCACAAGTCGACCAAACAAGTGGCTCAAAGAGCAGATTTAAAAAAATAATGATAATTCTTAAAATTTTCTTAATATAACTTTTTCTTCTGAGTAATACATGCTGGAGGCTGGTGATGCCTGCAGGTGAAGGAAAAAAGGCTAAAGTATATAAATACTCATTATTTCTAACATTTATTAGAAATTTTACATGAATCATAACACAAATGAGTTTTAGAATGAAAGAAATGTATATTTACTAATGTAACACCAGCTGTCATAGTTATCTCACTCATAAGGTAAGGTAAAGATGTTCAATATTAGAGAGAGGCGCCAATGATAATCGTCTGTGAGCAGCTCTTGGTGAAAGTGGGGAGGAAGAACATGAAGAGACCTCCTACAGGTCAGATGTCTGTGGAGAGAGAATCTTCTGTGAACAATGATTTAACATGGTTTTCTCTCCATGTCTGCCAGAGTCAGTGGGAGAACCTGTTGGCCTCATGTCCCCCAGAGGTTTTCTGAATCCAGCTGTGTGTCTCTGAGGAGTAATCAGTCCATAGAGCCTCCGCTGTTCTTTGCTCCAGACATGTAAGCTGGAACTGAGTCCTTAATGCCACATTTGTGTGTTCAGTGTTACTTTTCATTAGCTTTGTGTACCTACAGCATGTCAGCTTTATGTGTTCTTACATAAACATAAAGCTGTGCATCAGAATCAGTCAGCAGCTTCAGCCTGCAGATAAATGTGTGAACAAAATAAGAAATATAATCACGACAGTTGATCAACTCCGTGTGATCCTGAGACATTGGTGGGAAAAACTTTCTTCATCAGTCTGACTGACAGCAAAGAGTTAGAGGATGAAGGGTTTAAATGAGGCTGCAGAAGAAAATAACTGTTTGTATTTATGTGAGATGGTTTGAGGAGAAGTTCAGCAGGTGGAAATTCACACTGTATGTAACTTCGAGATAATTAACAAAGTTTAACAGAAAACGTGAGCATTATATTTCCTATGACTTTGGAGAGAACGGTGAAAACAGTGTGTGGGTCCATCTGTAGGGCAGCGTCATGGTTCACAGTTTCAGAAAGGAGAAGGATTAGTTTCTGTACCTGCTAATAACAGAGTAATGGCCAGAAATGACTCGAATATTTGTTTGTAAATCATCCAGAATTGTTGTTGTTTATAATGTGGTTGCATGTTTTTCTGAACACAAAAATATTTTTAATTGAAATCTTAATCTTGATCCTGGGACTCGATCTTTCTGTCTGCTGCGATCCGCCTCAGACCATCAGACTATCCTGAACCTGATGCCAGCTGTGTGTCCTTAAAGAGTGATCTGTCCATGGAGCCTCCACTGTTCTTCAAAAAGCAGATTGTTTCAGAGATGGTGTAAGTAAACATCAGCTCATCTTCTTCCTCATGTGTCCTCATCTTCAGAATCATGCGAGAAGTCATGTGGCATTTTAGTTCAGTCCAGCAGAAACAGCAGAGGACATTTTCATGTATGATGAACAATTATGTTATTATGCGTCTTCTGAATGAGTAAACTCTCTGTATATATTATTGAAGGGTCTACCTTACAACATAAAGCACCTTGAGGCGACTGATTTGGCGCTATGTCAACAAAACTGAATTGAATAAACTTGTTCTTGGTGGTCTACTTCTTTATCTGGCAGACATGACAGACCAGGCTGCTGTGAGCCTGATCACAGCTGTGTGTCTCTGAAGAGTGATACCTCCATGGAGCCACCGCTATTCTTCAAGAAACCAGCATCAACCTTTAGAGCAGGAAAACCAAAGAGGTGAGCTCTCCTGGAACGTCCATTAGAGCTGTCGCTATAATTACCTGGTTCCCTGTACTCTGGTTTAAGCTGATATTTAGACCTAAAATGGTTGTAAAGTTTAATGTGAGTGTTAGTGGGACGTGCAACTTCACGTAGCCGTGAGACCTGAAATCAGATTTTGGAAGTTCGGTTTAACTAAGAGACTCACAAGTAACTGACACCAAAACAATGCTCAGAGGTGGTTAAAGCTCTGAGGCAGGACTCTTAATAATAATAATGGCAGCAGATGAGTTCATCTGGTAGATCTAGAAAAAATATTTTAGAGCAGAACTACAAAAGGCCTTTTATGCATCTCGGTCTACTCTCAGGGTTCTGGATTGTTTTTAACATTTAATGGTTATTCATTTTTAAACTGTATACATTTATGATCTAATTTTCTCTGGGATGGCTCATTGTTTGCTTACCAGGATCTGTCAAAGAACTGTCTTCAAACAGACACGTAGCTGTGAGTCTGTGAAGAGTGATACGTCCAAGGAGCCGCCGCTATTTTTCAAGAAAAACGTCATACCCTTAAAACCAGGGAAACGAAGGAGGTACGTTTTCCATCAGTACCGTCTCATTAAGTGGCTGTTTGCTCTGTACTGAGGTGTAAGTAGGTATCTACGGTATACTACAAACACTTCAGGGTAAAGAATAATCTGAAGAGCAGTGTTAGTGTAGTGTGTGTGAATGTCTGTGTGAATGGGTGAATGACTGAACGTGTAAAGCACTTTGGGGTCCTTAGGGATTAGTAAGGCGCTATACAAATCCAGGCCATGTTTATAGTGTATGTGTTATTTCACATAACAGCGAGACATAAAATCAGGTAGAGGAACTCCAGTTTGAGCAACACAGTCACAAGTTTGTTCTTCAGATACCAAACATTACACAAAGGTTCATAAAACTCAGATATAACATATGAAAAGTAGTCATGACAGCCATGATCTTCTGGCAGAACTTCTCTAAAGTATGAACATATCGGAGCATTTACAACCATTAAACATAAAGTGGTAATTAGCTGAGTAAAATCTATTATGCAAAGAACGAGATCTCTAAAACCCCAGATAAGCTTCTTAGTTTGAAACGAAACCCTTAGAGATGCCTTTAACACCAGTTTAGTAACATACTCTGGGCTGCATACTTTTAAAAACAGGATAAAAAATAGTGAAATCTGAAAAATCTTTTGTGATTAATTTTATTAAAGGAAGAAACATATCATTGGCATTCATTCAGGAAGTTTCACAGAAGTTTCAAAACTGGTTTCAAGCAGGAAGCATGTGAGACTCAAACAGGACAACAAGACAGAGAAATTAGAAAAATGAGGGTTTAAATACACATGAGATAATTAGAGAAAGAGACAGCTGGGAAACAAGGTGCAGGGGAATGGAATCACCTAACGAGCAGGGGGTGGAGAAAACTGAACATAATGCACAAGAGACTATGAAAATAACACTGCAGTTTCATATAAACATGTTGTGGTTTTCCCTACATTCAGGTTGAGAGTGTTATAATATGATGGTGTTGCTTTGACTGCACAATCCCACGAAACGATATAGAAAATATGTAAAATATATCAGCTGTGAATAACCTCCTAATTGCATTGTATAAAAAGAAATGATTGTCTGTAGGTGCAGGGAGCGCTGTTTGCATAGTCGCTCATTAAGACCAGGTTACTTCTGTCCATTTGCAATTACAATTGCTTAACTAGCTAACTAAATAGATTCTGCACATGAGAAGAGTGTCTGTATTTGCATTTGGACTGTCCCTTTCACACTGCAAATTTTTAAATTTAAACAAATCCCAAAAGTGTTAAACTTAGATTAGCCACAACTTGAGTAAGCAGGCATGACTAATTTATTTGAAAGCGTAAATGGCACATTAATAACCAGGTGACCATTTTACGTGGCTGGATGTGTATGTGGAAAGATAGTGTAATGTAATTCTTCATGGTTCCTCCACAGAGTGGACCAGGAGAGCTCAGATGTTCCCAGTGGTCAGTCTGCCCAGCAGCATCAAACACAGCTGGACTCCATATTTATGGTCTGTACATGTACAACAACTACTTTTACATCTATTGTGTTCACAGTCATCTCCATGCTGCTCTTTGTAGAGATCTGATGTTTGGCTCCATGATTTCAGTCTGATTGGCTCATTCATAAAGTATTCTGTTCCAGCTGCTGGAGGACAACATCATCACTTTTGTGAAGGACGAGCTGAAGAAGATCCAGAAGGTTTTGAGTCCATATTATGAAGGCAGTGAGATGGAGGATGAAGCAGTATTGCATTGTGAAGATGAAAAGCAATGGAGGAGCAACAGAGAGGCATTTATAAAAATCACAGTCAACTTCCTAAGAAGAATGAAGCAGGAGGATCTGGTTGACCGTCTGAAGAACAGTGAGGATTTCTCTGAAGATTTTCTTTTGCTGAGTAACTGGAACATTTACTAATGTTTCAAAAGAGGGACCCACATGTGTTGAAATGCTAATGATTTAGGGCATGAAATTGTTGCCTGAACTTTCTAAACATTTGGTTGGTATATTTGGTCTGTTGTTCTTTTAGGAACTCCCAGCAGAGTTTGTCAGCAAAACCTTAAATCTGCACTGAAGAAGAAGTTCCAGTGTGTGTTTGAGGGGATCGCTAAAGCAGGAAGCCCAACCCTTCTGAATCAGATCTACACAGAGCTCTACATCACAGAGGGAGGGACTGCAGAGGTCAATGATGAACATGAGGTCAGACAGATTGAAACAGCATCCAGGAAACCAGACAGACCAGAAACAACAATCAGACAAGAAGACATCTTTAAAGCCTCACCTGGAAGAGATGAACCAATCAGAACAGTGCTGACAAAGGGAGTGGCTGGCATTGGGAAAACAGTCTTAACACAGAAATACACCCTGGACTGGGCTGAAGACAAAGCCAACCAGGACATCCAGTTCATATTTCCATTCACTTTCAGAGAGCTGAATGTGCTGAAAGAGGAAAAGTTCAGCTTGGTGGGACTTGTTCATCACTTCTTTACTGAAACCAAAGAAGCAGGAATCTGCAGCTTTGAAGACTTCCAGGTTGTGTTCATCTTTGATGGTCTGGATGAGTGTCGACTTCCTCTGGACTTCCACAAAACTACAATCCTAACTGACCCTAGAAAGTCCACCTCAGTGGATGTTCTGCTGATAAACCTCATCAGGGGGAAACTGCTTCCCTCCGCTCGCCTCTGGATAACCACACGACCTGCAGCAGCCAATCAGATCCCTCCTGACTGTGTTGGCATGGTGACAGAGGTCAGAGGGTTCACAGACCCACAGAAGGAGGAGTACTTCAGGAAGAGATTCAGAGATGAGGAGCAGGCCAGCAGGATCATCTCACACATCAAGACATCACGAAGCCTCCACATCATGTGCCACATCCCAGTCTTCTGCTGGATCACTGCTACAGTTCTGGAGGATGTGCTGAAAACCAGAGAGGGAGGGCAGCTGCCCAAGACCCTGACTGAGATGTACATCCACTTCCTGGTGGTTCAGGTCAAAGTGAAGAAGGTCAAGTATGACAGAGGAGCTGAGACAGATCCACACTGGAGTCCAGAGAGCAGGGAGATGATTGAGTCTCTGGGAAAACTGGCCTTTGATCAGCTGCAGAAAGGAAACCTGATCTTCTATGAATCAGACCTGTCAGAGTGTGGCATCGATATCAGAGCAGCCTCAGTGTACTCAGGAGTGTTCACACAGATATTTAAAGAAGAGAGAGGACTGTACCAGGACAAGGTGTTCTGCTTCATCCATCTGAGTGTTCAGGAGTTTCTGGCTGCTCTTCATGTCCATCTGACCTTCATCAACTCTGGACTCAATCTCCTGGAAGAACAAAAAACAACCTCCAAAAGGTCAAAACCAAGATACTTTACAGAGACACATTTCTACCAGAGTGCTGTGAACAAGGCCTTACAGAGTCCAAATGGACACCTGGACTTGTTCCTCCGCTTCCTCCTGGGCCTTTCACTGCAAACCAGTCAGACTCTCCTTCAAGGTCTGCTGATACAGACAGGAAGTAGCTCACAGACCAATCAGGAAACAGTTCAGTACATCAAGGAGAAACTCAGTGAAAATCTGACTGCAGAGAAAAGTATCAATCTTTTCCACTGTCTGAATGAACTGAATGATCGTTCTCTAGTGAAAGAGATCCAACAGTCCCTGAGATCAGGAAGTCTCTCCACAGATAAACTGTCTCCTGCTCAGTGGTCAGCTCTGGTCTTCATCTTACTGTCATCAGAAGAAGATCTGGATGTGTTTGACCTGAAGAAATACTCTGCTTCAGAGGAGGCTCTTCTGAGGCTCCTGCCAGTTGTGAAAGCCTCTAAAAAAGCTCTGTAAGTACATAGATAGCACTTATTTATGAATGAAAATGATACAAAGTAGCTTACAACTATAGAAAAGGTAGAACACTTTTGTATTTTGTTTGTCTCTTTAGGCTAAGTTGCTGCAACCTTTCAGAAAGAACCTGTGAAGCTCTTTCCACAGTCCTCTGTTCCCAGTCTTGCAGTCTAAAAGAGCTGGACCTGAGTAACAACAATCTGCAGGATTCAGGCGTGAAGCTTCTCTCAGTGGGGCTTGAAAGTCCTCAGTGTACACTGGAAACTCTCAGGTCAGATCAAGAGCTTTTTAAACTTACATTTAGATAGGAAAGACATGGTTATAGCTTACTCTCCTTCTCATTTATTATAAGTATAGTATAATTATTTTTTCAAAAAACGTTAAAAACATTTGCTAAATTTGTGGAACTCTAGTTTGTCAGGCTGTCTGATCACAGAAGAAGGCTGCACTTCGCTCGCATCAGCTATCAGCTCCAACCCCTCCCATCTGAAAGAGCTGGATCTGAGTTACAATCACTCAAGAGGCTTCGGGATGCAACGGCTGTCGGCTGGAATGAGTGATCCATGCTGGAGACTGGAAACTCTGAGGTATGGAGAGTCTTGTGACAGCCACACATGAATAGATAAAGAACACACATTAAGATAAAATTTTAAGTCAAGAGGATCAATTTCACTAAATAGTTTTGAAAAATGATTATTTTCATGAATACTTGTGCAAAGAAATAAAGAAGTCTGATGCATGGGCAGTGACAGTGCAGCCTTCCTGAAGCATTACGCAGAGGTTTTTGGTCCACACATACCCCAGTCTGGGTTATCTTTGGAAAGTTTAAATACAGTGAAGTGGATAAGAGTTTTTTGTCATAATCTTGGCACACTCAATTTGCTGTTGGGATTGTAGCATGAGACAGGTTATTTTAATGTGTTTCAGGTGAGAGCAGTACACAAACCTTATAGACATTTTTATAATTACAGGTTAATTTAAGCTGCGTCTTTGAGTTCATTAGTATAAGATGAAATAAGGAAGCTAACTGAAGCTAGCTGCTATAAGTAATGTGGAAATGTTAACTTTCTAATTGTGTTCTTCCTGTCAGCTATCATGTCTGAAGGCAAATGGAAACATTTGGAGTGTAACAAGCTATAAAACTAATGTTAGTCCAACCCTTTTAAATGTTAGGTTTTCTGGAGTGCACAAATTTGAATACAGAAGACAGCCAAGGTACAGAAATAGCTGCAGAAATGCATCACCTACAGCATGTTCCAGATGGTGACCGCTGTAAAGATGCTGAAAACTTTCTGACAACCAAAGAAATGTGGATTGTAAGAGTCAGAGTCCTATTTGTAAGATGTGTGGTAGCAGGACCTTTCTATTCCCGTTTTGTTAGCAAAGTCAGTGTCTAACAGTGTGTGAATGAGAGCCATGTAATGTCCATGTGTGCATGCGGAAAGAGACTGTGCTGGTCTGACCCCCCTCCTCCTTTCAGGGTGGAGCCTGCTGGAGTCCGATGGTTGAGACCAGGTCTGAGGAAGTGTAAGTGTGTTTTTAATGGGATTCATGAAAACAAAGCAGCACACATTCAACCATCTTCAAACTGTCACATCACTCATTCACATCTCTGATGTCAGGAGTCATCATCAAAGTGTCAATCAATGAACAGATGATGTTTCAATAACTGCAGCTGGATTGTGTTTGTTCTCTCCATCAGATTCCTGTCAAATCACAGTCGACACAAACACAGTGAACACAAACCTCCAACTGTCTGACAACAACAGGAAGGTGACACGTGTGGAGGAGGTTCTGTCATATCCTGATCATCCAGACAGATTTGATCAGTATCCTCAGCTCCTGTGCAGAGATGGTCTGACTGGTCGCTGTTACTGGGAGGTCGAGTGGAGAGGAATGGTTGATATATCAGTGAGTTACAGAAGAATCAGAAGGAAGGGAGACAGATATGACTGTGAACTTGGATTTAACGAACATTCGTGGAGTCTGAGCTGCTTTGATCATGGTCCTCATGCTGTCTGGCACAATAAGACAAGAACAACAATCTCCTCCTCCTCCTCCTCCTCTGTCTCTAACAGAGTAGCAGTGTATATGGACTGTCCTGCTGGCACTCTGTCCTTCTACAGAGTCTCCTCTGACACTCTGATCCACCTCCACACCTTCAACACCACATTCACTGAACCTCTTTATCCTGGGTTTGTTTTTGGGTCAAATTCTTCAGTATTTCTTTGTGCAGTCTAAAGGCTGTCCTCCTTTTACTGAAACACTTCAGAAGTCAGCTTTTCAGCATTTTTAAACAGGCTGTTTGTTATTAAAGGTTTATTTTATTGTTCAAGTGTGATGTAAGTATACAGTATAGTGTGGATATAGAACTGGTGTTCCTTCTAATTAGTTGTGTTGCTCATATTTTTTGTTGTGTATTCTCTCCTGTTCCCTTCAGGCACTACAATATCAAAGATCAAACGGTACACAATTTTTAAATTCAATTCAGAATGTCTGTATGGTCTCCTGAACCTTCCTCCAGTATTGATTATATATTATTTAATCAGTAAGCATTCTTTCCACAATGATTCATAGATGTTCTCACTATCAAAATACTCTATAGTTATGTTTTATCGGTCTGGTTGCTAACTTTTGCTAAAGCTGGCACTGCAGACATCTACTGGATCCACTCTGACGTATGTAATCCTCTAACTTATAAGTAATTGCACAATATACCAACAGTTACATTGTTAGGGCCCTGAGTTAGTTAATTGGTTTTTATTGTCATTTTAACACATTGGATTTTAATATGGAACAGCAGTGTAATCTCAAACATAGCACTTTAACATCAGTGAGAGGGTGGTTGAGAAACCAAAATCAAAGTTTTTAAAAATTATTTTGCAATCTGAAAGTTAATTTAATATTTAATCATATAATTTTAAATGCCGGGACACAGTGTATTATTTTAATTTGGTTCAGAATTGTATAAAATCTCTTTTTATGGTTTCAATTATATGTTAGGTTCAGTTACTTGATTTTGTGCTGAGAAAACTGTGTATATAATGTAAAATAGATGTAGAGGCTAAGCCTACGCTTGAAGCCACTGAGGTGGTCGTTAACGGGGGTGACGCGATGTCACTGGTATGCATGAATTAAGTTCACAGTCCAATAAATCCAGCAGTATGTATCTTGTCCTTTTTGGTCTTTATTCCATATCGACTTAGCATAACAGCGCAACGGTCACAAACTGTTTGCCTTCTCAATACCTTTACATTACATAATCAAAACAGAAAAAGGTGACCTCTAGTGACCACATAAGGTATTAACCCAAAGAATGGCTCCTACACCCCGGCCCCTAATTGAAATGGCTATCAGACATGGCAATTCTAATCACAAAGAAAATAAGGAGCCACTAATACAGTCTATTTTAGACCTATACAATCACATAAATAAACATAAGTAACACACTTTTAGATTACAGTCTCATGTAACAAGCAAAGTTTAGTTACAGGTCTTTCCAGAATATTAGTCTTTGTTTTTAAACGTGCAGATCGCACAAGTCCTTTTTTGTCACGAATGGCTTCCAGAACTCTTCCAAGTGGCCAGGAACCACGTGGTGCATCACAATGACTATATCTCCAGGTTTTAGATTCTTCTTCTTTTGGTTCCATTTTTGTCTCTCCTGTAACAAAGGCAGGTATTCACGTATCCATCGTTTCCAAAAAAGATCTGAGATGTACTGAGCCTGTTTCCATCTTCTCTTCAGATACATATCCTGAGGGTCGAATAGTCCGGGTGGTAAAGATGGTTTTCCTTTCATCAGGAGGATGTGATTTGGTGTAAGTGGCTCTAGGTCTTTTGGATCATCAGAAAGCTTTGTGATGGGTCTGTCATTTAAAATTGCTTCAATTTCACATTGAACCGTATTTAATCCATCATCGTCCAACTGTTGTTGCTGAAGAACGGATCTCAGAATCTTTCTGATCATACGAATTATCCGTTCCCAAATTCCACCATGATGTGATGCTCCGGGCGTATTAAAACTCCATCTTATTCCAATGTGTCGCAAAGCATCCGCTATTTGTGTATGTTTCAGCAATTCAAGAGCCTCCCTTAACTCTCTGTCTGCTCCGACAAAGTTGGTTCCATTGTCCGATTGGATGTGAGCGACTTGACCTCTTCGGCTCACAAAACGGCGCAAAGCATTAATGCAGGCATCTGTGTTTAGAGAGCTAGCCACCTCCAAGTGCACTGCTCGGCTGGCTAAACAGGTGAAAATGACTCCATAGCGTTTAGCTGTACCTCGTCCTCTTTTCACTTCAATAGGTCCGAAATAATCAATTCCGACATTGGTGAATGGTGGGTTATCTGGCAAAATTCTTTCCTTGGGTAAATCTGCCATCTTTTGCTCCAAGGCTTTTCCATGATATTTTCTGCAAAAATTACATTCTGCAATAACCTTCCTTACAGCTGAGTTGGCCTTTGTGATCCAGTATTTTCTCCTTAGTGTGGATAAGGTGTGGTTACGACCGCTATGACCAAGCTGTTGATGAATGTGCTTTAGGATGAGATTTGCTACATGTTGGTCTTTTGCAAGAACAAGGGGATGCTTCGTTTCTTCTGGTAAGGAGCCCTTTGTCAGTCGTCCCCCAACTCTTAAGAGGCCTTCATCGTCAAGATAAGGATCTAATCTATAAATTGAGCTGCGCCTGCTCACAGAACCTTTCCCACTTGACAACGTAGCAATCTCTTCTCCAAATTGTTGTTGCTGGAAAAATCTAATAATGGCAAGCTCAGCTTTCAGAAGATCCTTTGAAGATAGTCTGTACAGCTGCGGTCTCTTTACTTTCTCCTTTGTAGTACTTTTACAAATTGGGTTATCTGAGTAAGGTTGCGGTCCTTTTTTCTTATCTCTCATTGAACGAAGGATTGCCTTCAGTCTAAGGAACCAAGCAACAGCAACCTTGAGCCTTCTCCAGTCTGAGAAGTACACCATCAATTGACATGTAGCATCAAGCAAGTCTTTTACCTGAGTAACATTTACTGTGGCCTCACCTTTGACTTCAGGGTGCTCTGGTTCTAAGGAGCATTCCATTAAATTGGTTGGCCAATCACTTTCTGGCTTCTGCAGAAAGCTTGGTCCTTCGATCCAGCGGCTGCTATGAACAACGTTCCCAGCCTTGAGCCCTCTTGTAGCATCATCTGCTGGGTTTTTCTTCGAGCTTACATATCTCCATTGTGATTGTTTAGTTGCAGTTGTAATGAATGAGACTGTTTGCCACAAAGGTAAGGAATCGTTTATCCTTATTCATTATATATTTGAGTACAGATGTACTATCTGTCCAAAATATAGATTGCTCGAGTTTCATTTTCAACTGAGCCCTTAACATGAGAGCCACTCGGACGGCAACTACAGCAGCTGTTAGTTCCAGACGTGGAATAGTGACAGGTTTTAAAGGTGTTAGTTACTCTTGCCTTGCCCATCAAGAATGCGACGTGGATGGATTTCCTATTATCTTGCATGCGCAGATATGACACAGTTCCATATCCAGATTCACCAGCATCTGAAAAATGGTGTAGCTGTGCATGTGAGAGAGGTCCAAACTCTCTTGGTTGTATACACCTTTTAACCTTGAAATGGGAAAGCATTTGCAAATCACTGAGCCAACCTTTCCACCTTTGCAACATGGTTTGGGGTATTGGTTCATCCCATCCCAGTTTCCTTTTGCAAAGCTCCTGCTGCATTCCTTTGGCAGGCAGCAGGACTGGTGCAAGAAATCCCAATGAATCGTAAATGGAACTTGATATTGATAACATTCCACGCCTAGTACAGGATTTTTGAGGGATATCCATTTTGAAGTTGAATGTATCAGTTTCCACACACCACTGCAAGCCCAGAGCTCTTTCTACCGGAAGTTTGTCTCTGTTAAGATTTAATTCTTTCCAGTCTTTAGCCCTTTGCTCCTCAGAGATACTTTGCAACAGGGTGCGATTGTTACTGACCCACTTGGTCAGTGTAAATCCTCCCCTTTGACAGAGTGCTGCAAGATCTTTGACCAAATCAACAGCATCTGAGGTGGAGGCCACACTCTTTCAGTGTTTCACATACCTTGTCTAGGAATTCAGTTTGATTGTCCTCAGCTGTTTTTCTCAAAGCGAAACTGGCGCAGCTCGGGGAAGATACTGCACCGAACAGATGAACAGTCATGCGAAACTCAATTATGTCCTTGCTCAGATCTCCATCTGGCCACCATAAAAAACGCAGAAAGTCTCTGTCCTCTTTGGCAACTTTAACTTGATAAAACATTGCCTTTATGTCACCCATAAATGCGACTGGATCCTGTCGAAATCTAAGAAAAACCCCAAGCAATGTGCTTGTGAGATTAGGACCTTGTAAGAGCTGCTTGTTTAATGATGTCCCCTGGAATGATGCCCCACAGTCAAATACAATTCTTATAGATCGTTTTCTGGGATGGTAAACTGGGTGATGAGGAATGTACCACTTCTTTCCATTTTCGCAAGACAGCTGCTGTGAAGGTATTTTCTCTGCATATCCATTACTTATCATCTCGTCCATAAAGGTTTTATATTCTTTATGCAACCGTTCATTCTTGAGAAGTTGTCGTTGTAGACTTTGCAATCTTTGTTTAACTATGGAGAAATTGTTTGGCATCTTTATGTTATCCCTTTTAAAAGGTAACTTCAAACAGTAGTGTCCATCTTCCATTGTTGCAGATTTTTCCATGATCTTCATGAACTTAAGGTCCTCCCTTGACAAACCCTTTTCCTCTGTAACCCTTTCATTAAAGTCATAGTTATATTGACTTTTCAACATCTCCTCCAGCTTACAAACAGATATCCTATTTACAACTGTTGGTGGGTGCTCGCTGTCCAAGTTGCTTTTGCCATCTTCCATGGGCCCATTTATGACCCAACCCAATGCTGTTCTTATAGCATATGGGCCATTCCCCTGGCTATGAATGACCTCCCATGGTTCCAATAACTTGGGAGTGTTGCATCCAATCAACAGGTCAACATTAGCCATTATGTGGGGAATTTGAACCTTTGACAGATATGGCCACCTGATCAGATCTTCTTCCTTTACAAAGTTATCCGTGGTGACAGGCATCCTTTCCTGTGTTAGAATTTCTGGAAGTTCATAGAAGGCATTGCTGCCTAAACCAGAAACTTCAAGACCAGTAAGTGAGTGGGCAGAGACTACCTTTTCTTGACCCATCGTTTGTAACAGGAAGTGAGTTCCTTTGCCCACAAGATTTAGCTTTTGCATGAGGTGCTCTGAACAGAAGCTAGCTGAACTGCCAGGATCTAAAAAAAGCATATGTCTGTATGACATGACTACCTTTAACAGACTTTATTTGAACTGGCAGAATGGAAAGCAAACCGCTTTCTCTTCCGGCCCCTGTATGACCACAAGTTTTTACATTCTTTGAAGAGGAGGGCTCTCCATAGCATTCAGGGCTTACCTCATTGTTATCAATATGGAGGACAGTGGGATGACCTTTACCACACGTTCTACATATCAAACGCTTAGCACAGTCCTTGCTTATGTGCCCAGCACCTAAGCAACCAAAACACAGCCCTGTCTCCTTTAGAAAAAGCATTTTGTCTCTGTGCTTCTGTAGCCGCTAAGACTGGTGGACCTAAATCTTCACCACCACGTCTGTATACATACAAGCAGAAAGGGGAGTGAGCGGGTCAGCGCTCAGGGCACAGAAACTAAGCTGGCTTCAAACACCATTTATTTCCATAATAAAAAAACCACAGCCAGAGTCACAAATACAAGATAAAATTCCCCGTATACAATAAAAGTAGTGTTGCAACCCGCTAAAAACCCTGCCGGCAGAAATAACTATACACTATTAAAACAAGGCTAAAACATGTTTTCCATATGCTAAAATTACCCTCCCATAGTCCCATAATCCCACAGTCCAGCCACACATGGGCGAGTGGTCCTTATATGAAAGAGACAGGAGAGGAACTTCTCTTCCGGTATGGTAAAACTCGTCAGCAGCAGACCAGGGAGGAGGCTCCTATCGCAGACCTGTCTCCTCCTGACAGCGCGTCGCCGCACAGTCCCGCCCCACTCCACACCTGAACACGACCTCCCTCGTCTCACCGTCAGATGCAGGCAGAGGGGCATCCCTGCCCTGTTGTGCATTGCAGCCATCGCC